TTTAACTTCAGCTGAAAGACCAGTGTTCTTTAAAAAGACGAGTTTTGTCAGCAATCTGAAACCCAGTTACCCGAAGGCGAAGGTTTCAGACGAGGCTGAATAAAAAACCCTTAAAGAGTAGATAGAACCAAGAAAACTTTGAAAGGATAAAAAGTTACAAATATTTATATAAATGGCGGCTCCAAGGCCTTTCATTAGTTCAAAATGTACTTACAAAGATTGTTCTGCCCCGAAGGGTTTACACATGATATTTTTTCAGTACATCAGCGTTCCAGTGATTTTTCAACTCAGTTCCATCCAACTGCCGAAGTCGGTATGTCCCTGGCTGAAGCTCATCACAGATTTCATAAGGCCCTTCCCATGCAGCTGAGAGTTTCCCATGGATTCGGCCTTTCTGAACTGCAGCAGCATTCCGAAGGACAAGGTCTCCAATTTTAAGAGGCCTTGCATGGACCCTTCGGTTATAAAATTTGTTGATTCTCTGCTTATAAGCAGCCATTCTGGATATTGGCAAGGCTCGATGAAGCCTGCCTCTAGCAATTTTTTGACCTCGGCTGCGATGTCTCGGTTCTTATTAGCGGAGTAATTCCGCTTCTTTTGCTTAATTGGTCGACACGTTGGGTCAACATTAAGCTTATGGGAGATGAGGTCTGGACTTATCCCGGGCATATCAGCTGCCGAGAAAGCAAACACATCTCTGTTGTCCCGAAGGAGCTGAATAAGTTCACAACGGGTGTTCGGATCAAGGTCCATCCCGATTGTTACACATTTCTCAACGTCTCCTTCGGCCAACTCAACTGTTTCAGTCTGTTGGTCCATGTCCATTGCTGATGGACTGGACTCTTCAGAATCTGGCCTGCTGCCTATGTCAGCAGGTGTCCCAGTATTTTTGTTCTTCGGCTGGCTCTCTGAGTCTTGCTGTTCAACTGAAGAGCTAGCCTTTTCCCTTTCGGGCCCTTTACCTCTGGGTACAGATCCTTGGGCCGAAGCACTTAGGCCTTTCGGCTTTTTTGTGCTTGGCTCTCTTTCTTTTTCTTTCTCCTCATCCTTGTCGTCATCTGGGCGACTACTGGATGGCTTGAGGTAGTTGCACCTTCGGGCGTCCTTTTGGTTGCCCTGTATCCTTTCGGGGAAGCCAGCGTCTGAGACGTAAATCATCAGCTGATGATAAGTTGAGACGACCCCTTGGATCTCATGAATTATGGGTCTCCCCAAAATCACGTTGTACACTGAAGGAGCGTCAATGACCAAAAATTCAATCATGACGTTCCTGGCTGCCTCATCGCAGCCGATGGTGATAGGAAGTGTCACCTTCCCATCTGGATAAGTTGAAGCCGCGTTGAACCCGGATACCGGGTAGGGTACCGGCGTAAGGTGCTTGGGCTTCAGCTTGATTTGATTGTAGGCCTTTCGGAACAGAATGTTTGCTCTGCTGCCACCGTCAACAAGGACCTTACTGACATCGTGGTTGGCCACCGTAGCGATGATCACCAACGGATCCTCGTGAGGGAACGTTACCCCCCGGCAGTCGGCGGCTGTGAACGTCATGTTCGGCACCGGCGATTGGGGAGACTGAATGTCAGCGTTGTTCACCTGGTGAGTCAAAGCCCTAAGGTGTCTCTTGTGCTTCCTCCGAGAGCATATTCCTCCCGAGATAACATTGATCGGAGAGAATTTCCCCTCTGGCTTTTTACTGTTCTTCCGGGGGAAGTCGAGGTCTTGCCGAGAGTCCTTTGCTGACTTCTCGGACTCTTTTTTCTCGCGGTGATCCGCGATGTATTTTTTCAAGTATCCCTTCCGGACCATGTCCTTTATCTGGTCCTTCAGTTGGATACACTCCTCAGTGTTGTGTCCCGGAGATTCGTGGAACTCGCACCACTGATTTTTATTTTTTCGCTGATACCACTCTGGGAGTGGTCTCGGCTTTCGGTAACTCTGCTCCTCCTTCGTCACGCTGTAAATTTTGGCGCGTGGAAGAGAGAGCGGAGTGTAGGACTCGTATCTGCCTGTGTATGAGGCAAATTTTTCCTTCTTTAGGTCGTTGGCCGAAGATTGCTCCGAGGCCTTTGACTTTCCCTTTGCCTTATGGCCTTGGCCTTCAGACAAGGGTATTTGTCTTTGTTTCCCTCCCCCGAATTGAGGTTGGGTTTTCGCTTTGTTCCATTCTTCGGCTCGGATGAACTTATCCGAGGCATTCAGAGCTTCCTCCAAGGTCTGCGGGGTATGCATGACCATGAAGTCTAGGAACTTCCCGGGCTGAAGGCCATTCTGCATTGCAAAAACGGCTAGCCCCTGGTCCAGCTGAGAGACGCTGGATGACTCGTTACTGAAGCGGGTCAGATAGTCTCGGAGGCTTTCGGTTTCCCCCTGTTGCAGACTCATGAGTTCTGCAGTAGTCTTCTCTCGGCGGTTTGCCGTGGAAAACTTGCTCCTAAATTTGGAGGACAGATCATCCCACCCTGTTATGGAGCCTTGCTTACTCCCTTGGAGATCCACGCTTGCGCGACCCCCTTGAGAGTGGTTGGGAAATATTTACACCAAGTCGCTTCGGATCTAGGGCAAAGATGCATATGAGTCTCATACGAGGCCACGTGGTCCTTCGGATCCGAGGTCCCGTCATATGTGATGTGCGGCGGTATTTTAACCGTGGGCACGTGCTCTTCCAGTATCCATTGCTCGAATGGCGAACTGGCGGGTAGCATAACGGCCTTGCCCTTGTTCCTGGCCGAAGGGACCGCGCTCCGCCCTCTTAGAGAGGTAGGAGTGGTTTTCGTCCCTGGCTGGGAAGTCTGGGACTCGGTCGCAGGGAACGAGAGGCGACTGTGCACGCTCGGTTCCTTGCCGCCGAGTCGATCGAGGACGCTTCGGCGAACAGTCTCAGGTTGTTCTCGGTGAGTAGATTCTGGCCGAGAAGCTGAGCTGCTGCTCTTATGCGTTTCTGGTCGGGAGGATGAGGATCCTTTGAAAAATTGAGGGTTCTTTTTCCTCTCTTTTTCAGTTTTCCAGGTATCCTCTTCCCACTCTCCCAGTTCCCGGGAGGAAGGAAGCTTCCCACCATCATGGTCTAGCTTCCTCCGTTGATGCCAGGTATGCGGAGGAGTTCGATCACGAGGTGGTGGCATATTTTGTGCCCTCATTGCCTCCATGAGCACTGCCAGCGCTCTTGCCACCTCCTCCGAGCTGGGCCCCGTCAAAGGGGTCCTCGGCCGAGTATGGGAATGAGAGCGCACAGTCGATGGTTGGCTTTGGGGCACTGAATGTGTCCTATGATCGGACTCACCCCTGCTAGACCGAGAGTGACTCGGCCTATGATGAGAGTTATGAATTACGGGAGAAAGGGAATCCTCCCTGTATGATCCTCCCCCCGAGCTGGCACCCTTGGGAGAGTTCCGGTCCGGCGAGGGTGATGGTGTAGGGGTTTTAGGCTTTTCGCCTGCTCCTTGACGGAGGCCTTTGCCCTTGCGGTTCTTATCCATTGCTACTAAGATAATTGCAAGATGATCTTGGTTAGAAATTTGGCTTAAAGATTTTTGAAAGTCTTCCCCACATACGGCGCCAAATTATTTCGGATGAAAACAATGGGACCTTGTCGAAGGTCCGATGAAGTGGAGAAGACTGGATTCGGTCCAATTGATGTTGGGCCGAAGGTTTCCTGCACAGTAAACACACGTAAACTAGCCTCGGGGGTGTTGCCGAGGAAGGCCCCTCCGATGCTAAAGTCAGTACAGTGTGTAGAAAGAGAACACTATGCAAGAGAATTAATTGCTTGAGGCTTTTCTTGAATGAATGTACAAATGTAATATTGATGGCTTTTATACCTTTGCATATATGGAGAAGTTGGGCCTTAGCCCAATTGGCTTGCCTTGAGGACTGATCTTTGAATTTAGCACAATTGGAGAGATGAACCTTGACCTTGGGCTTTTAATTGGATCATTTAATGCCTAGGCCCAATTGGACTAAATTGGACCCAATCTATACATAAACTTCTTAAACTTCAAATTACACAACAATAATTTGTAAGAATATGATGAAATATCAAAACATAAGCAAAGTGAACTTATGATAATTTAACACATAATTTACACCAAAGAGTTAATATTAATCATCAATATATAAGTCTCCAATTAATTTGGTAGAATTCCTTCTTGTTATTTGTAGGACATATAGACATTTTTATCATTAGACCAAATCTTGCTTGATATTTTTATTATGTTATTTATTGATTGTATACGTAGTTCTTGTATTATATTAGTATGATGATAAAAACTTTCTAATACGTGGAATTATATATTAACCACTACTTTGACATTTGAGTCATTATTTCTCATTTTCTTATATCAAGGCCGTTTTAATTATGCAATCAGGTCACCTAATGACAGTATAATAAAGTATATATAATACGAGTACACAAAATGTAAGTAGTGTGAAAATGTCTATGTGTATTTTTGAAGTCAATGATGGTAATCTTCTTCATATGGTGGCTTTGACTTTAAAGAAGATAACGTTTTAACGTGGATAATTGGATATTATCCTATTTTAAAGAGAAGATGATTAGGATCTTACAATGCCTAAAATGAGATGGTCTAATTTCAACATTTATTTTATTTTTATTATTTTTTTTCCCAAAGTGAAGAGGCCTAGCACTTAATTAAGTAGACATGTGTGTTTGGGTGGCCAAAGGGTATCTTACTTTGGGCCCAACTGAAAAAGGCTAAATGGAGACCCAATAAACTACTTCTATTAGTCTATTAGCACAATTTATCAAAAGGAAATTAACCCATATTGCCCAATAGTGAGTTTGTGACAATGTTTCTATTTGTGTATAGCGTGTGCACAACACATGACTCGGTTGTAATGTGGGCATAAAGTCGGGAGAGGCATTGCTAAATGGATACTTTTGTCATTAACCACCTTTCCAAACATAAGATTCATATTTGACTACAGACAAATAGATAAGTGAAGAAGACTGATGTAAAATACAGCATGCAGCATGCTCTACATGAACTACAAATCTGTCCCTGCCTTATTTAGGTAATAAGAATGTTTAATTATACCAAGCATATGATAATCAAAAGAAGATAAAACACACAAATTCAAACCATCTTTTTAAGATCCCTCATTCAACTCAGTGAAGCTACGATGTCAATGCTAAAAGGGGAAAACATTGAATCATGATTGAGAATTTGAGATAATTTCAATCATCTAACATTACATATAATCTCCGCAAAACAGAAATCTTTTTTTTTTTTAAAATACTGCCTTTTGCTCCTACTTTATAGTTTAATGGAGTACTACTTTAATATCTAATCCATAATTATTCTTCCACTAAAAAATCATACTCCGCACTAGATAAAACCGTGTTTGCATTACAATATCAATGCATGCACCATACTCGTCGGTAAGTATACGATGTCCATGTATCGATCTCACAAACCCGGGGTACACCAGTTCAAGCATCTTCTTTAGATTTCTTTCCCCTACAAGAAACTATAAACTCTACAAAATTATCCATTGCCTTAACAGAAGATCCTTTGTAATCTCCCTCAATTTTCCAAGCATCCTTCAATTTCTCCCCAATCTCAACAGCTTTCTTCTTCATTTCCCACCCACAACTCCCCTCCTTTCTATCCAACACCATTTCCACCACACTCTTCACCCACTCTTTCTTCACCTCCCCTTCCAACCCCCTCGTCAACTCGACCGCCACCCCCATTTCCTCCACCATCATCTTTGAATTATACGCTTGCTCGGCCGCCAACGGCCACCCGAGTATTGGCACTCCTTCTCTTAAACCTTCCAATACCGAATTCCAACCACAATGACTCAAAAATCCACCAGTAGCCTCATGCCTCAAAATATCCAACTGAGGCACCCAATCTCTCACCAACATCCCCTGTTTTTTCTCCATCATTCTTTCCTCAAACTTCTCAGGCAGCCATTCGGGTTTAAACTCCCCATTGAAATCGAACCCGAATGGCGGCCGAATCACCCACAAGAACGGGATCTTACTCTCCTCCAAACCTTTCGCTAACTCCATCATCTGAATCGGAGTCACTGTATTCTGTGACCCGAAACAAATGTACAAAACTGAGTCATTTTCAAATTGATTCAACCACCTCAAACAAGCCTCTTCCTTCTCATCATCATCTTTTTTCGAAGATGTCATAATCAAAGGACCAATTCCCCAAATAGGAGATTTCGTGAAATTCCTAAAAACTTGAAACCCTAACGGTTCAATCTCCTCGATGGAATTACACAACCACCCAGAACAATTCAAGGATGATTTAATCTGAGGTTGGAAAAACCTCGACCATTCATCGGACCCATCAGCAAACCTTAAAAACCGATGAAGCTGATTACGTCGGAGTTTCCGATCTTCCGGGAAACCAGCCAATGAAAACTCCTCATCATCGCCGACATTCCGGTGAGGTAGATTGCTCCAGATTGAAACATACGCACCGACACCGTAGGCCCCACCAGTGTTGAAGCAGATTCCGGTGGACCCAACTGATCGGGCCACGTTATCGGCCCAGCCCAAGAACACGTCGAAGATTATGCACACGGGTGGGTCGTGCAGGTGGTGGCGCGTGAGGTAGTCACGTACATGAGGTTCGAGTGAAGTGGATGCATGGAAGAGTTTGATGATGGAGGTTAATGAGAGTTTATCGGTATTTTCGGTGTTGGGTGGGAGACCGTGGTCGGTGCTAGTGAAGGGGAGTTCGATGATGTTAAGGTTGATGTTGAAGTTGTCGGATTGACGGCGGAGATTAGCGGCGTTTAAAGGGGTAGTGAGGAGAGAGAGATTGAAGGGTGTTAGAGAGAGAAGGCGGTGAGCGAGGTGGAGGAATGGTCGGAGATGGCCTTGTGCTAAAAATGGGAGGAGGATTATGTGTTGTTGTTCTTGTTCTTTTGTTGATGACTCCATTTTTGGGTTGATTATTTTTGTAATTTTAATGAATGAATGATTTGGTAAAGAATTTTGGTGTTTTGGAGTTTAATTTGTTGTGGGGATGGTTCGATACATAAGGGGAGTGATGAGTGGTTGAGAGATAATTTATCAAAGTGATGAATTAAGAACGTGCATTTTGTTACTTACCCATTACATATTATTTGTAACGATTTGATATAAAGTAGATAGGAAAAATGTCTAATCGTTGTAAATAATGTAATATTAGTTTAAAATTTTTAATAAATTAAGCTAATTGGATCGCGAGTATTTACAATTAAATGTAGAGGATGCGAAAGTAAATAAAACGACATAAGTGGTCCTTTGGATCAATTTTGAAATCTTCAATAATTTGTTGGGAGTATAGTAGGGGAGTGAATGAGTGAGTGATCACTCTGGACAGTAGTGGATGTATGGATGTGAATTTGTAGAATTTATTAATGGGTCAATGGAATGGTTGTTCTTTTGCTAACCACTACTTTCTTAAGCGTTTTGATTTTTAATTTCTAAGGAAAGTTTTTTAATAAAAAATTTGTAATGAAATTGATTAATTTATATTTTTATGAGACTTTGTTATTAATACTCGTAGTCTCTTCATTAATCAATTTCATTACTGATGCTCAAAAATTGATTAATGTATGCACTAAATATATGTAACAAACTGACTGAGAATGATAGAGGTCATGTACCTAACAAAATAACAGTACCTAATTAAGCTCAAATGACAGAGAATGAGATAAATCATGTACTCGTAATGTGCATATTTTGATGTTGTTTGCTTCATGGGGTGCAATGTATGACCTTAAAACTCTGGTTGGCCAGACATGCAGCCTGCACCTATCGGATGCATTCACGGTATAAAGGATAAAGATTATTATATCATCATTATCATTATTAGTTATTGTTTAGAATATGTAAATCCCTTCTTCAAAAAAAAAAAAAAAGAATATGTAAATCCCTTGATTTACTCTTTAATTTTGATAGTCAAAGTATATCCCTAATAATTAGCTAACGTACCTAGTCACATATTGTATCTAGTGATAGTTTGGTCAGTTCAATGTTCTAATCTTGTACTATATATACTCGTGCAGTGTGTGGTTCCTATAAGCGTAGGTACCTTGCATGGTACAGACGTTTCGCAGAAAGAACATAATATATACTTCCTCCGTTTTCTTTTAGATGCAACACACTCTTTAGCGCGGTAATTAAGAAAGGTGGGGTTTACATGATATTATAAACTTTAAAATAGGATGAATGGTTGTTAGAAGTGTAATTTAGCGGGTCATGTGCTTTAAATAAGGGATATAGTATAGTTTTTCCTTAAAGTAACTTTCCTTTTATAGTGTGTTGCAAATATTGTGACATTTCCTTTTTAGGGTAGTGTTGCAAGTAAAAGAAAACGGAGGAAGTACATGTTAAGAACATACAATTATGGTGAAAAGAACATACTTTTAAAATATAATGAAAATATACCTAAATTAAAAAGAACATATTTGTACCATAAAAGAGTGAAAAGAACATGCGTCTATGTTCTTTGTAATGTATTTTTATTTGTGATATAATGTTCATTGCATATTGTAAAATGTTCTTTGAATTTTGTGATGGGTATATATAAGTAATGTTCATTACATAGTATATTTTATCATTTTTTTATTAATGTTATAGATGTTAATAACTAACTAATAATGGTAATGATGATATAATCATCTTTATCCTTTATACACGGGCTCTCAAGGGTTCATGATGCGTAGAATGCCCCCAATGTTTCCACCCCTCAAAGGTATATTTTAATATTTTGATGTTGACATAGATTAAAGTTATAATTGATATAAATAAATTGCAACATGTGTTATCAAACTGTTTTGCCTTCCTAGCTAGAACCCTTTCAGCACTTCCATTGGAAGCGTTTTTTTTTTTTTTTTTTTTTTTAATATATATATAAATAATACATTGAATGTATATGAATCACAAAAGTACACCAAAGATAATTAGAAGAAAGATAAAGGCAAGATAAGTAGTAGAGAATTGGACACACAATAAAGTGGGAAAATTTATATAATAATAAAAAAAAAAACCACGAATGACGAGAAAGGGTGAGTATTACAAGAAAATTCTCACTATAAGAACTCACAGAAGAGTATTACAAAGTAGGAATAGTGGATTAGGGAGATTGTGTATATGTAAAAACTCCGATCATAATAGATATCTTAGAGAGCTGTATTTATAGGTAAATTCTCTGTAAGAATGGAGGGAACGAAATTCATAGAGTGTATGAGGGTATCGGAGTATTGGAGGATGATGTAGGTGGATACATACTCCAAATGATGCCCAACACCTTATATTTATAGGTGATGTATGGGGGTGGAGGAAGTGTGTGACATTTTCTACACACAAGCTCTTCAAATTGTCCACATAAATGTAGAACCTTCACGAGCATTCACTAATTCTAGATTCTTCCACCATTTTGACATATAATGAGTTGGGCTTTGGAATTTGGACCACACTGACCCAACATAACATATTTGTAAATCTTGAAGCACCGGGTATGTTTGATTTTAGGTTTTCATTCTTCTCAATTCTCTATAGTTGCTGCTTTGTTATTATTGTATCACCTGATAAATAGGACCCTTTTGATTTCCCAAGTCGGGTATTTCTTATGAGCTGGTTCCAGCAAGTTCTTTGGGTATCATTAGCCATAACCTTCAACGCATGCATTATATGTCACGTTCTCTAATTGAGGTCATAGAAGGTAATGGGAACGAGATAACCAAGTTTGTTAGGCTCATAGGAATGGAAAATGAGAGAACGGTTGCTGAGAAAATCATATTCGAATTTGTCAATGGTGCAAGGAAAACTAACAGCAACGAATATCATCCAGAGGCTTAATCAGGAAAGGTGTAGAAGATTGATAAAAAGCATTGAAGTTGTTTAGCTGCTGAAAGGGGATAAATGAGTGAATGTTAGAATCATTGCCAAACGGTGTAGGGTACAGATTGCATATTTGATGGGTAGAATACTTGGAGCTTCAGAATGAGTCCGGAGTTCGGCTATTTAAATTAATTAATAGACAAAAGATCCCACTTAACTTTAAGGTGCCGTGACAACAATATCATAGTAGTAAAGGGTTTCTAACTTTGGTGCGCGGAGCAAAGAACAGTCTTGAATACAAGAAATACTTTGCATTTCCCTTGTAATAATAAACTCAATACTCCATATCAACTTTCAAGTCAAGCAATAACTTTCCTTCCAAATCATGATACTTTTATTAATTAATTGCATAAGATGCACGCCTATATAATTAGCTCATTACTATTAATATCTTTAATTTGATTTTGGACTCGTTCCCACGAATTATGAATAATTACTTATGCTAAAAACATTTAAATTACTTAAATAACTTTCAATTTTTTGTCATCTTGTTATATTATATAATTTTGTTGAGTTATCATGTTATTTGTAATTAAAACTTTGTCTAACTTAGATTTTTTTTATTTTTTTTTTTAAGAATATTTGATACAAAACATTATATTGTCTAAGTTTGAACTACAAAAGTACTCAATGGATCGTATAAATTATAGTGATTTGGATTGAAGAAAAAAAATGTTAAAAAAATCATTATAACTTGTGCGTGCATTTGTTGTATATGTATTGGTGATCTCTTGTTATTGTTATATTTTTGCATAATGTCTTAAAAATAATTAGCAAAGTACCAATTGTCAAAATTAAATTCTATAATTGCATAATAATTAAAGAATACTCCGTATCAAATAATTGCATTTGTTGTATATGTATTGGTGATCTGTATCAAATAATTGCATTTGTTATATATGTATTGGTGATTTCTTGTTATTAAATAATTGAAAACCAAACCATTATTATAGGGCTTGTTTGACATCGTTTTTTGTTTTCAGTTTTTAGTTTTTTTGAAACCTAAAAACCAAAAACAAGAAACAAGAAAAGGTGTTTCCACTTTTTTGTTGCCAGTTTTCAAAATTATCATGATTTTAATAAGTTTAAATAAATTTTGACTCGTTATGTGACATATTTTATATGGTTTTAAAAAAATTAAAAACCAAAAAACAGAAAACCGATGCCAAACGAACCCATAGTTTTACAAACTATAGTTTTACAAACGCACATCGATGTATGAAGTGAAAGGAATTGTAACGAAATTTAAAAAGAGAAGAGCATGTGGTGGATTGATTTGTATTTTTATAAACATAGATAGAATATATATTTGAAAAGCTATCTAATGGTGTTTTAATTTGTTTTTTTAGGTCGAAACTATATAATTCCCGAGCCATGCTCGTTTTAAAATTAATGGTAATAGAGATTCTATTATAGGCATTAAGAGATTAGAAAAAATTATACCACATATTATGTAAAAAACTGTGTGTTCTTTTTCGATGAGATTTATAGAGTATGAGTATGAGTTGAGTTTATTATTGGTAGAGTATCATAATTTTGGTTAGTTGTTGAAAAATCATGGTGTCACAAAAGGTTTCAGTTCTTCGAATGCAAGCAAATTAAGTAGATGGAAATTATCCTCTTATCTACTCCGTACAATGACAGATTGAAAGTTACAATGAATCGCAAATTCTATGCTACTCCTGAAGTACCGTGTGCATAGTATTCAAAATTTACAAAGTTTTTTATTATTTTAATATGAACTTCTTGTTATTTCAATATATATATATATATATGTTATTTTTAAATAAGTATATGTTACTTTATATTTGCATGTTTTTTTTTTCAACATTGATCATCATTTCGCTGTACTCGAGGTTTATAAAATTTATGTTATTTTGATGTTAATCTCTTATTATTTCAATTTTTATATATGTTAGTTTTTATATAAGTATATGTTTTTGATAAATGTATTTTTTTTACGCATGATGTTGAAGTAAATAAATGAATAACATATTATTTTAGCAAAATAACACAAGATTTTAAGCAAAATAACATAAGACATAAAATAATTCAAGTACATTGAGTATGGAGTACCTATATACATACTAAGGGCCTGTTCTCATTTGACTGAACTCAACTGAACTGAACTGAAACGAAATGAATATTTTATAAGAGAAGGAAATTAGAAGCTGAACTGAATTGATCTGAACTGAACTAAATTTCAACATATGAGAACAGGCCCTAACTCGTGAGTGTGTGACGATTTGTTAATGAATTTATTTTTACTTTCGTAAAATAAATCTTTTTTTTTTTTGAAAGAAGGAAAAAAAAAGAAAAAAAAAACTTTTAATTCGCTTAAAAAAATCAAGTGAAAAGTCTAAATTGTCCCCAAATGTTAAAAAAAAAATCAGCGAACCCACCGGCCACCTCTTCTCTTTCTCCCTTCTCAACTTCCACACCATTCCCAACTTCTCGATCGATCAACCTAGGGTTTTTTTCTTTGATCAATTCCCAATTTCCAGCTTCAAATTCCAATCAAATGAACTAGGGTTTCTAGAATTGACACAAAAATGGTGGCAAATCAGCAAGAACAAATCAGCAATTACTTCCTCGAGCAAGCGAAACTGAGCGCATCTTCAAGCGAAGAACTCGACAATGAAAACGAAGCAATTCCGACGGAATTGAACACCATTAACAGCTCCGGCGGATTCTTGGTGGTTTCGACTGATAAACTGTCGGTTGAATATACAGGTGTTAATTTGCACGGCCACGATGTCGGTGTTATTCAAGCGAATCACCCTGCTCCGGTGAAACGACTCATGTATTACTTCGAAATGAAGGTGATTAACGCTGGTGCTAAAGGTCAGATTGCTATTGGTTTCACTACTGATAGCTTCAAGATGCGCCGACAACCTGGGTTTGTTTTTTGGATTCTTTTCTTTAATTTTCAATTGCGGTGGTGTTTTTATGAATTAGTATTTGGTAATTGATTGAGATTCAAGATCATTGTTGATATTTGATAATTGTATAATTAGTCGGAAATGTTGTCGAAAATGATAATTGCATTGGAGTTTTTAAGAATTGATATTTGTTCATTGTTGTTTATTGTTTGTTGTTATATTAGCGGTATACATAGAGGATATGTTCAGTTGCATTGGGACTCAGAATGTGCACTTTTTTGTGTATGATGTATTGTCTCTTGATATGTGATATGGGTGGTGGTAAACTGGTAATTATTGTATGATTTGGGGTAGTATCGTAAGTAATTGTTGTGTTTGAAGTGTACAAAGTTTAGAGGAATCCATCATGTTCATTCTTTGCTCGTTAGGATTCTATTGTTGATTGTGGTAGACAAGTTTTTGATACAATAATGGAACTAATTTTAGGATTGGGAACTGAAATTGATTTGCATATGTATCAGTGACGAGCAGCTGTGTTAAGCGTGATAGGCTATGGACTCAATGGTCCATTTATCGTGTATGATGTATCACACCTTGATATGTGAGATGATCATGGTTGTATTCTGGATTAGTGTGGTGTTTGTAATGTGCAAAGTTTGGGAGGAACATATCATGATATATGAAGTTTTGCTTGTTTGCTGGGAATCTATTGTAGCCTTTGTAGGGGTGTGGAAGATTGGTTCTTGGTACATTTGGGAAGCTATTTGTAGGGTTGGGAAGTGATATTGATTAGCCTATGTTTTATTGTGCTGTGCAATTTATTACTATAAAGTAGAATTTGTTTGCTATACGTGATGGAGACGAGCCAGTGGTACTGTATTAGGATCTTTTCAACTTGTTAGTGGTACTGTAATTTGTAATGGACTGCTAGCAGCAACCCAAAAGAGACTAATAAGACTAGAAAACAGAACAAAATAAAGAGAAAGGTTGAAGCTTTTGATGACTGTCCAAGAATTTATACAGTAGCAATGGAGGGACATTATAGAACTATGAGATAGATAAGAAAGATTGATGCTATAATTAACAGAACACGAATTACACAAAAGATAGGTTTAGCTTATTGAGCTCCAATTGTGTTTAGCTCACAACTCCCTATCAATGGCTTTAGGTCACAACTCTCTCATGGGTTCACCAAAATTCTGCCTACCTTTTTCTTCCCCCCCCCCCCTCTCTCTCTTTATATATACCAAGGACTATTAACCTAGTAAACTAATATTACTAGAATTCCCATACTACCCCTCCTTAGTTAGTCTATTACATGTAATTAGGATCTCCTTACCTGTTAGTGCTACTGTTACAGGATCTTTGTAACTTGTTTTGTTTTTTGTGGGAAACTGTCAATAATTAACATTGTGTTTGGATAAAAAGGTTTGGAGAGAAGGGAACGGAAGGGAAGGGAATGTGATGGATACATTTCCCCTTTTTTCGATAGGACTTATAGGAGAGATTTGGAAGAAAAGTGGAAGGTCACTTTTTCCCTCCCCTCCCTCACTTTTCCCTCTTTTTTCCTTCCTTTCCCTTCTTTTCAATGTTGCTATCCAAACTCAGCGCTAGAGACTTCAACAACTTCAACAAGCTTTCATTGTTTCTTTTCTAAAGAGAAACTTGTGTAACGTGTGAATTTCTTTTTTGATCTTCTGATGTTTTTATAGTATTTCCTGAATTTTAAAATTTTATTTTAATCATACACTAATCAGATTAGTATGATTAGAAGATAATTTTTTTTGTCCTGCTATTCCATCAAATCATCAATATCTCAAAATGAAGAATTTCGTATTCTTTTACCAAAAAATTCTTCATTGTGTATGAAAGTGATCAAATTTGTTTTTGCTGATAAGGATTCTTAGAATATACAAACTATAAGTTCTACATACTTTGAAATATTTTAGATCTGATAATTGGTGAAAATTAAGGATTTACATGCTTCTAGCTAGTAGCATTTTGTAGTTCAACTTTTTTTTTGAAGTCACATGTGTAGCTGAACCTATATCTAAACTAAATGAAAACATTGTGAGCTTCCTAAGTGCTCACTTGCACATCTATGTATGCTCATTACCTTTTGAAACATACCTTTACAACACCACTTCACTTCAAAACCTCACTGATTGAACATGATGTTTGCTTGATGTTTTTTTTTTTTTTTTGTGAAAGAGATAGTGGAATAATGGTAAATGTGAAGTCACTTGCATTTGGATTTTGTTTTTGTTTTTGCTTATTGAGTTTGTCTGCAAGGCTTTACTTTGTACCCCCCCCCCCCCTCTCTCTCTCCCTTATCCCCTACTTGGTCATTAAAGAGTTGGTTTAAGCAGTATCTTATTTATTGTTTTCCTTACTTGTATTGACAGGTGGGAAGCAAACAGTTATGGTTATCATGGAGATGATGGATTGCTGTATCGTGGTCATGGAAAAGGAGAGACGTTTGGCCCTAGCTTCACTACTGGTGATACAGTTGGTGGAGGAATCAATTATGCTTCTCAAGAAGTCTTTTTTACGTAAGACAGCTACTACTTTGTACAGCATTAGAATGAAAGTAGAAGTTCCATCTCAATGAAGTTTGCAAGTAGTTTTATTAATTGGAGTTGTAAGCAATTGTTTTCTGCCTGTTTGTAAATGTGTTTTTGGTTTTAGTTCCTTACTTGCCATTGGTTTCAGCTTTTTAAGTACCTGGTGCTAACGGATATTTACTATGTTGAATTTCCAGCAAAAATGGGATTGTTGTGGGAACGGTGTACAAAGATGTGAAGAGTCAACTGTTTCCTACGGTAGCTGTTCACAGCCAGCGTGAAGAGTATGTTTGCATTTCAACCATTCACCTTCATTTATGAGCTTGGTATTAAATGATATAAGAATAGTTATAATTCGATTTTGTCTTTACTTTATTTTAATATTTGTTTTTATGTTTGGAGGGGGGGGGGGGAGTGGGTGGGTGGGAAATGGGGCTTGGGACCTGTACCCTGGTGATTTAAAATTTGCTCCTCAATACATAAACACAAAAATTGTTACTTTAAGTCCACAATTGGCCATTGACTTCAGTGCCTGCTGACCTGAAATTTTGCTCTACCATAATATGTTGAAGTTGTAGTTTTGTTTGTCTGTTGTGACTGATCATATGCTGATATAGTGACAGTGAGCTATAGCTCTCTTCTATCATCACTTTTGTGCTATTACAAAGCAGATATTCAATGCCTGACCTCTGTTGCCAAAGCATAGATATTCAATGCCTGACCTCTGTTGTCAAAGCATAGATATTCAATTCATGTGACCTCTGTCGTTTTCTATTCCTTTTGTCCTATCCTGCCTTTCTATTTTTAATATTTTTTTAAAAAAAATTTCATGCAACCATGCCTGTTTTCTTAGGACTATCAAGTTAGTAGTTCATGCAAATTCTAAACTAGTGTATGACTGTATATATATGGATATTAAGTTACTTCTATATATTATGATATAACTTTTTTTTTTTGTGTGGGGGTGAGTTAGGACGGAGTTAGAAAACTTAACTGTGGAATTTCTCAAGTTCTGTGTTCTGATAATGGAGTGGCATGACAATATTATTTTTTTCAAACTGTGCAGGGTTATTGTGAACTTTGGGAAAGAACCTTTTCTCTTTGATATCAAGGCAAGTCTTTTCTGATGTGTTTATAAACTGGATTCAGTTATGGTGCACATGCTTATTAGTTTCCCTATAAATTTTTAATGTAAAGAATGTCTAGAATGTGCCAGAGATGGTTACTCAGTAATTAACCTTCTCACTTAACCTTTTCTAAAACCTTTATTTTGTTAGTTAAAATAATTGATTACTATTTTTATCCTTATTTTTATTATATAATTGATTACTATTTTTGTAATATAATAATATAAAATAGATTGATGCTTAGGACTTCTTGTTAGTTTCTGTATGTCTGTTCTTTGTAGTCTTTCTGTACATTATAATTTTTTCACTCATTTGTATTCCATTCATTAGGCTTATGAAGCGCAGGAAAGGTTGAAGCAGCAAAGCATGATCGAAAAGATATCTCTGCCGCAGAATGTTAGTTATGGGTAATGACTTTATTCAAGGAACTGTCATGAACAGAATCTTTGTTAAGCATGTTGTGTTTGGCTTTGACTAGCTATAGCCTTTTTAAAATAGAAAATACATAGTAAGTGCTTGTATGGTGTGTGGCTTACTGCTTATATATGGTGACTGTCTTTTGTGTCATATTGTATGGCTTCTGCGAAGCTTTAGTGAGATAGATCATTCCTGCCTTCAGACCTGTCTTGTAGTCTTGTAGATGGTCTTGTTATAGATTTGACAGTTATCAACTTAAATCTTCTGCTTCTCTCATTATGTTTACCATGGCATTATAAGAATATTATGTCTTGTGTATCATGATATATGTGTTCAATGTTAGATCTTTGTCTAATGCGTGGTTATGGAATACCAGAATTGTCCGCTCATACTTGCTACACTATGGCTATGAAGACACACTTAACGTGTTTGACATGGCCACTAGTACTTCAATTCCACCCATCAGTTTATCTCAACAAAATGGATTTATTGAGCAAGACGACATGTATGCACTCAACCAGAGGAAGACTCTTCGCCAGGTATTATTTCAACAAATCTGTCTATTTTGATTACCAATTCTGAGCACATTCTAATTTATTTGCTCAGTTCAACCTTTTGTATATCTAGACAAAATGCCTTTGTAGAGTTTGCATCCATTAATTCCTTATACTATTAGTAATAATGCGACTCCTGGTTTTACTGTGCTCTATACTTGATTAGATAGTATACTTGCTATACCTCGAATCTAGAATGCTTTAGCTTTGACAGAATCCACATTTATACAACTATATTACGGAGTACTATATTCAAAAACAAAAATGCTTTCATCTTTTCTTGCTTAATCTGTTTAAAAGTGGGATTTCTTTACTAGAAGAATTACCTTGTTTGGTTGTTTTATAATTTGTCATTCTTTCTTAGCGTCCAATTTGTTGCCAGAAGCTCTTTGAGTCTTGGTATTGACATGTTCATCTTGGTTATGAAGTTGATCAGAACAGGGAAGATTGATGCTGCATTTGATAAACTTCGTGACTGGTATCCTCAGACTATCCTGGTGAGTTGTTTGAGCTTCATAGTTTAGCATTAAAATCCTGCTGTGGTTTTATTCCTTATTGTAGTCTTGTAAGTTTTCTCTTCTCTACTCCCCTCCTTCCAGAATATAATATACCCATTATGCATCTTTTTGTTTTTTCCTGCTCTTCAATATCCTTAAGAGGAAAGACGTGTATCTTCCTCCCTCAGTTTTAAATTAACGGTTGTACTTCACTTTTCGTTATAACCAAGGAATTGTAAAGTAAGAGTGAAATGGATTAAGTTGAATCATGAAGGAAAACAATAACGGAAAAAAATAATTCGTGGACCCAAAAGTGTAATGATATGTATAATTAGGGTCAGGAAATGAATAAAATATGTGGGTCACATCAACGTCATAAATTGGACAAAGGCAATGTTTAACCATTATTTTGAAACAGCCAAATTAGGAAAGTGTAACCATGATTTCGAAACAGTAGTACTTGGTTGTTTGCAAATCCTTTGCATGTACAGAACTTCCTGTTGCTCTGTTTGAATACATATCAGATTCTAATTGGTTTCTGGTCAATATTTTCCTATTGCAGGATGACAACTCTCCCATTTGTTTTCTGCTTCATTCTCAAAAGTTCATAGAATTGGTTCGGGTATGTCTTTTTTTCTGTTTATGTATCATTACGCTAGTAGCTGTTTGCATGAAATCATCTTGCATTATTAACCCCAACCCCCCCCCCCTACTGGTCTGTCCTGAATAGTTAAAAATACTTTCTTTTGATGCATTCTTATGTGATGTCCAACTTTGCAATGTAGGTTGGGAAGCTGGAAGATGCTGTCAAATACGGAAGGGTAGAGCTGGCCAAATTTTTTGGTCAAGAAGAATATAAGGAACTTGTTCGGGTAACTCTGTTTTGAAATTTGATACTTATTTTATCCCTGTGGAATTAATCTTTGTTATGTCTAGCCTTTTGGAATACGGAATGTAATGGAGTCATGTAGTAATTGCATGCTTATTACTTTCCTGCACTATTAAATTTTCACTTACCTACATCATGAGAGGCTGAGAATCCATTGGTCATTTTGGACAAATCTGTTGTATAAGATTCAGAAGAGTCTTTCTTCAGCTATAATACTTCTGTTTTGATTTCTGAATTTCTGAGATTCTTAGATCTTCAATTTTTTGTAGGAATGTGTTGCCTTGTTGGCCTACGAAGAACCCTTGAATTCTCCAGTTGGACATCTTCTCAAAGAATCACAACGAGAAGTTGTTGCTGACGCAGTGAATGCCATGATCTTGTCAACTAATCCTGGCCTGAAAGATTCATTGAGTTGCTTGCATTCACAGCTTGAAAAGTTGCTAAGGCAGCTATCTGCTTGCTGCTTGGAAAGACGATCTTTAAACGGAGATCAAGGTGAAGCTTTCCATCTGCATCGGGTGTTAACCAGCAGTAAAATGGAGAAGCATTAGATTTAAGAATAAAGATCTTGTTTATAGTCTCAAAATCCTGATGCTGATTTACTGATGGGTGCTACGAGTGGGAATTTGAAATTGGCATTAGGGATAGCAGTGGACTTGTGATAGAGTCTTAGCCTTGGGCTAGGGAAACAATCCTACACTTGTTCCACTTCGCTGCTACTTTGTAAAGTTGTTACCATAATATTGATCTAATTTTTTTCATTGGTTATCAATATACATCTTGTTGAATTTCACAATCAAATGTAGAAGGCAAATGTGCAATGAATGAATATTTTCTTTTGATCATACGACTCGTTGGAATTTTTATGTTATCATTCGATTTCTGTAAATTATCCAAATTTCATCTCCAGAATTATTTCATAGTGATTTCTGTAAACCATCCAAATTTCATCTTTAAGTACAAAATTAAAACAAAAAGTATGATATAAGAATATTAATCAAATCATTAACGTGTATGGTGTATCATTACTCCCCCGTTGTATCTATATATTAATGACATTAATGTGAATAAGATTTAAACCATTTATGCTAATAGACATCCACTTTTTCCATAAGATTGTTAAACCAAATTGCATTTTAAGATTCATTTATGTATTTTTGCTCATAGAGAGTTACACGGAGCAATGTTGTAAACAACGTTTGATTTTCACAACCTTGATATTATCCTCCCATTTTTACGGTTTTACCAATTAAGTTAGTTAACAACCGTAATTGAAGATAAAGACAATAGGCAATGGCTATTGTGTAGCTTAATTATACACCTCAAATCTATCTAAACCTTAGAATGCACTCAACAAAATATGAGGGAAATCTATAAAACGAAAATGGTGGATCACATTAACAGCTTTTAGCTTTCATTGCGGGAAAAGCGCCTCTTTCTTGCTTTCTCATTAACCAAAATTCTTCAGCTTTTCATTTTCTTATAATTTTGCTTATGGCAATATAGGGAAGTCACGGCGACGTGCAAGAAGAGATCATCTGCTGCCCGAACCACCGTGACATCCCACCTTTCTGCTTTCTGGTACACCTCTTTGTTAAACAATGTGGTTTCCTGTCCTTAAAGTTCTTCTCATTTACAATTTACGCGGTCTTTAATCATGTTTTATTTTTTAGACGTGTACTTGTATTATTTAAGTGTTGGATTTCAATATCTCAAGCTTAACTACAAAGAGACCTCTTCCTCTTTTGTAATATAATGACATCTTGTATGATCTCGAATTTCTTTCAAATACATTAATAGATTAAACATGCATGAATAATGTAATAAGCAATGTAAAATTATTACAATATAAGTTGATGCAACAGATGAACAGAAGATGATGCCTAAAGGCCAAGAATGTACGCTAACCCAATACAAGGGGAAAATTTTCATTTAGAAAGTCATCAGAATTTTGGAAATTATTAGCTAAGATAGAAGTATTAGATTTGCTGCAGATTTCTGAATATGGAAAAATTTCCATATAATTAGGACTTTAGTTTGCAACAGCCAACAGGCATTCCGGGTAGTTTTCCTTTTAATAAAATGCCGTATTTGGTTGTGTACTGATTTTTGTGTTCATGACATCACCATTTTAGATATATTCTGTTGTAGTGATAAAACAATACTCTTTGAATTGTCTAAATGCGCGTTGCATGTTATGGACTTGACTTATGAAACAGATTCAACGCTATGTTTGAGTGACAAAGTACTGAAAGGAAAAGGAGCTTTCATCTGTTAAAACTTTTTGTTTTGATGAAATATTTGCTTCATTTATTGCAGTTACTAGCCAAGACATGACTATAGTGAAGATAGATATGTAGGGTGCTCTCGAGGTAGGCAAGCATCCATAGTTGATACTTGATAGTTCCTTACACCTATATCAGTCTTTTAAGATTCTTCAGAATTCAGATTCCTCTGAGAACCTGTAAAAGGTAATATCATTATTCAAAATTTCATTTTAGATTAATATGTTTGAATGTGCATATTAAATTTAGTGAAGTTTGGATTTGCTTGTTTGGATTTATCATTTATAAGTTACATGATCCCTTCTCAGGAGAAAAAATGCTTGCTGAATGTATGGCAAACACCCCAGAAGGGTTCTCAGACATCCAAAGCGGCCCGTGCAGGGGTCCAATGTCTCTTCCTCCGAAAGGCCCTTCTCAAGCTCAATACTGTGGTCTAATTCCTACTGACAAACAGGTCAATGTGCCAAACTCTTGTCCCACAGATGTTTTATCTGAGGAACCACCACCTTGGCTTGAGGATCTCCTAAATGAGCCAGAGAGTCCGATTAATAGAACACATCGACGTTCTGCAAGTGACTCTTCTGCATACTTTGCTGTAGATACTAGTGCGGATGAGTTGTGGTTGAGGAACGTTATTGGGGCACTTTCTTATAGTAACCAAATGCCCCACAATTTCAATAGGATCCCTCAAGTTTCATTTAACACCGAGAAGTCAAATGCTGTGACTGCAAGTAATAAGCAACAGCAAGATAAGTTGGGGAAATCACCCTCAACTTCTACTCATCCATCATTATTACCAAATGGCCTCATAAATGCCAAGGAAGATGCTGATTGTCAGGCCTTAGGTATGTCTTGTTCACCAGAACCAGATGTAATAAAATCTGTAGGGAATAAACCTGAAACGGAAAATTCTTCTGGTGGAGGAGGCGACTGCTCTCACTTGAAACCACCTGCTGCATTGAATTCTGATGCAAAACGTAAACAGTAAGAATTAGTTCCTTCATCATATCAGTAGTAATGATTTCTCTACTGAAGGATTGCCTAAGTATAAACATGCACACTTCAATAAAACACTTTAATAAGATGAAATAAAATAAACAATTGAGTGCCTAAATTCACGCTATACTTTCAAAAGATGTGTATGAGTTGCTTGGAAAACATTCGATCAAGTTCTCAGATTTGCAAAAATGATGTAGGCATAATGCTCGAAGGTCACGTGTCAGGAAGCTTCAATATATTGCAGAGCTGGAGAGAAATGCCCAAGTTTTGCAGGTAATCTTTTCTTTTCCCTGCACATTTCCCCTGTCTGACAACTAATTAAGTACAGTAATGAGTACCAAAGTCTTGAGTAACATAGTATTACAATAAAGCATTGTGTAAGATTTCATAATCTCCTCATACATAGTATACATCTACTAATGCAGGCAGCAGGAGCTGAAGTATCAGCACAGCTAGAATTCCTCGACCAGCAAAATCTTATACTTGGTATGGAGAATAGAGCATTAAAACAACGGTTAGAGAGTTTATCGCAGGAGCATTACATAAAATCAAGTGAGTAATATGTCAATAATTTATATAACCAGATCAATTTCATCTGCTTGGTTCTATTTTCTGCATCAATGGTCAATGGAATAACAATATGCCTAAACATACAAAATCATGTTTCAGTGGAACAGGAAATCTTAGATAAAGAACTTGCTAGGCTTCAGTACCTGTACCAGCTCCAACGAAATTTGAGCCATAATCAGCCACGGCCACGACAGAAGCAGAATCCTGCAGTTCATCGTCGTGGCAAGAGTTATAATGACGTTGATTCTCAGCTTTCCAAGCTCAGTTTACACCCTCCAAAACCTATTGCTCCCAGCAACGCGGCCCTTGAGTAAATGCTCTAGACCCTGATCTTTTTCAATATGTATAGCTCTTGTGGTTCTACAAACTTAAGTTAATTAGTTTTAGGTGTATAGCCCGTGATCATTTGCCGGTATAAATCATTGAAGATCTCCTACAGAACTAATTTACAGTAATTCGGATTCTAAGGGAAGGAGATCATATTCGAGTTAAGTGTTAATATATATTTACTTGTGTAATTATTCTCCTAGTACATTGTATTATTTGAAGGGATGATTTATTATGTAACTACTGTATAAAGTACGTTTGTTGTGTGCTTGGCTTCATTAAGCTGAGAATAATTGTCTAGACACAATAAATTTCATTTCAACAGCTTGCAGCGAAAACTTGCATTCAAATGTGCTATAAGCTGAAGGGACGATTTACTATGTAACTTGCATTCAAACGTGCTAATGTACCTAAAATTCCTCATATGAACCCCCATCCACAAACTTCTCTCTAATCTCATTAATCAGACAAGGAAATTGATCTCTTGGACATAAATTTTTGGCACCAAATGAGATGTTGCATCCTATAGCCCTAACTCAGCAAATTAATTTTTACATATTTGACCTAATTATAGTAATTAGTAACACCACAAAATTTTACTTCGTAATAAACAATTTGATTTAAGAGAGTCTAGAATGACTTTGACATACAACGCCTGTAAATTTAGTGGTATAAGCAAGCAGTCCTCCACATCTTCTAGATTCCATTTCACTAGAATGCTAATGGAATTTTGGCCTTCAAATCGAAAGCCAATGTATGAGAAGAAAAATATGTTCATCACCATACATATCAAGGTAAGATTAATCATAGGACATTAAACAATCTACATAGCCAACATAGGTCACAGAACTTCCAAATGCCGAAAATAAGAGTAGTTAATAAGGTATAATTAAAGTTCTAAATTTCTAATAACACTATCTTTCAGTCCTTACCAATCATCTTCCTACTTGCAGCAAAGTTCAGCAGTTACGTTAAACCCATAACAGTGAGTTGATTCAAGAGTTCACTCGCATGGTTTTCCTCTTACAGTAGTTCCCCTAATTATCTAGAGAGTCCAGAGATATCCCATTGTGAGTCCAATATCCAATCACTTTGAGTCTCTATTGCCCTTGTTAGTGTTAGTAAACTGAAGCAAGAGCAGGCATCTATCAGAAACACTTTCTGTGAACAACAGCAGGTCCATGTTCATCGTAGTCTGCCTTGGTTACATGTTGATTCTGAGGGAAGACAACTTTGGCAAGTATTGCGCCGCCTACCCATGCTGAGTACTGGGCCAAATTCTCTGGCATGTATTCTGGAGGCTGTATTTGGATGAAGAATTCAAAACAATAAGCAACGTTAAATGAAGGTCCCCAATGGAGAAATATTGTCGATAATACAAGACATACGATATATGTCAAGTACACAGATTCAAAATGAAAAAGGAATGGATTACCTTCACCACCGAAGGATGAATAGCTGATGTGCTCATATTAGCTTCTTTCTGGAACCTACTCTCAAAACCTGCAGTAACAGGGAAGGTAAACCAGATTAGCAGAAGCAATAACAAACCCTGGACATTTCTATTAGCTTTTGTAGGACATCTAAAGCCCATTATAAGGGCCACCAGATAGAATTTTATAAGACGTGAAATACCAAGTGCCTAGTTCTAGCAGTATATGCAGATCCATTTTTTGGAAGGAATTTTAACACTAACATGATACAGTTCTCAATAATCACAACAACAGACAATATTTTGTACTAGTGGGTTTATAAAAGACCTACTTCCTGTGTCCCAAAATTGTTACTATAGATAAATTTCTTGGGCATCCCAAATTTTAATAGACAGGAAAACAGAAATATAGAATTAAGGAAGAAGAAGAGAATTTTTTTTTTTTTTTTTTTTGGGGGGGGGGGGGGTATTATCAAAGTAATAAATCACCACTGAATAGAATTACAACACCAGATCTTCCCACCTTTACGCAAAGGACAAGATAGAACAAAGGCAAAATAAAGTTCTCAGTTCACTGGTTATCTATTCTATCCTTATGCTCCTTTATTAATAGTTGCTACATGCGTTCTTTGGCAAGATTTTGTACTTTTAATTGAAGGTGCACAAATCTACAGACATACTCAAATTTAAATCATACACAACAACAAATACTAAATTTCTTAACTAAAACACAACAATGAGGCCTTGCAACATTTTTTGATAAGAAATGGCAAAAGTTGCTGCATCAGCTTGCTTTAGGCTTTAGCAAAGCAAAAGTATATATATGAAGATCTAAGGCAAGTGGTAATTTACCGGTCATAGAGGATGCGGCACCACATAGTACAGTGCTCTCCAGCAACTGCCGATGATTCTCTGATGATACAGTAGATATACAACGAACAAGTTGCTCAACGATGCCATGTGCCTCTAAACCCAATATAGAAGGCTGGAAGAGAGCTTCACCCACAGCATATCTTTCTTTTCCAATTTTGATTACCTATAACATATTCAATCGATTTACACAATCAATCCCAGAGCAGAAGTATTTCAAATGCAAGTTGAAATTCATTCCGGCCATATTCTAGGATACCTAAATATCAAGTCATATCATCATAACTTCAGAAAGGGACACCACAGTTTTAAAAAAGTTGTCCAACAAATTGAAATGTGAAATTTGAAGAAATAGTATTAAATAATCCATTGGAAATGAGCTTACTCCCTGTGAAAAACCAATGTAAATCTAAACCAAGTAAAGCATAGCAGGGTACACTGAACAGCACTTTTTAAAATGTAGCATCAAGCATTAAGAAGAATCTAGCAGTCCAAAAGGATCACACACAAAACGAACAGATACAAACCTGACCATCAGGCAGAATATGCTGTTCATTGGGGCATGATTGCTGGATTTTTTCATAGGCAAGTTCATCTTCAGCACAGCTTGCATATTGCTCTTTAAGTTTCTCCACATCTTGAATCTGGAGATTCACCAGTGGATTAGACTTCCCAAGTTCCTCGGCAAGTAGCTTGGTTAAATCAGCACCCCCAATTTCAAATCTTCTTGAGGCAATATGATGGACCGCTCCTTCAATAACAGGAGCAATATCTGCCAATCATGCAGAACCAAAGCTTCTATCAGCTAAGTCTAGTTCTTTATGAATCTGGAATCATCCAATGCACCAGGCTACTGTATACAACGATATTTTACCCATGCTTAAAGCCATGTATGCATGTACATGTACACACACCCGCGAACATATATAGATGCAAACACGAGCCCATACATCCATATCAGGAAATTGTAAACATAAAGACACACGTACATGCACAATATTGTCAGTGTGAATCAGCAAAGAGCCTACAGTCTAATTATTTATGAGCAGCATATTAAAGTACCCCACAACTAAAGATCGATGAATGGAATTAAGAGTTAAAAGTAAAGAGCTTTGCTACTATTAAAAAGGCGCACTTGAGCACACCTATCTTGCCATGACCAATATCAACAGTGCAACCAGAAATACGCCCAGCTGCATAGAGTGACAATACAGCTTGCTCAGTAACATAAAATCCTGACACGTTGAATTTTTCAAACATCAGTTGAACCAATCGTTCTCTTACAGCCTGTAATCAACAAACATTAGCTGTGGGAAGTAAGAATATATAAAAACACAGGCAATAGTAATATTGAATGAACACTTTTTGAGTTAGGCTACAAAAATAAGCAAAAAATTGGTTAGAAAGGTTAAGACAAGGGGTTTATCTATCAATTAGCCATGCACACAAAGGGAACTCACTGACTGAATACCATCCCAATTAGCCATGAACACAAAGCAAAAAAAATCACCTTCTCTTCCAGCAAGTTCAGAGAATTAACATATGGGAAATAACAGCTTAGTCAAAGAATTATATGCAGTAGCAGATACATAGGCTAGTACAGTTTGGTCTCGCTCTTTCAAACAGTTTGAAACGAGTGAGATTTCATAAATTTCGAAAATGACACGTGGTAAGGAGGAAGAGAGTTCGAATTCCACCTATAAGAAATGTTAGACATAATATTGTACAAACAGATTTGCAATAACCTTGGGAGTTAACAGCGGGTCAGCAAATAAAATATGGCCTTCATTGCCAATTTCCCATCCAAGGCTTGAATATACAAGATGGTGCAATAAATCTTCCATGGCATCCCAATCACTCACAAAACCACGAACAATAGGATCAACAGTGATGTCCTCAGCCACAGCCAAACCATTTAATGATTCCTCTTCTGGCACACACTTCATTTGTGTAGGAATGATCTGAATCACAATACAGAAATTAGAATGAATCTCACCGAGATACACAAAGGTGAAACATTAATGGCAACGATGTTTAGATGAATTGAGATTACATACTCCAGATTTTCAGAAACATGTAGTTTGCTTCTTATTCACTTACTATAATTCTCATAATGTGAATGCCGACTAGTTTAATTGATTAAAGTCGTGGTACTTTCGAGTTACAAAGACCAAACAATGTCTACATCAATGTCATTAGTGACACCCTAATACCATATAATTCCATTAAACTTCTCAATCCGATAATTCAAAGAAGCACCCAAATTTAAAAGAAAAAGGTACGATTTTTTACACATTCCAAAACCCTTCTTCAGAACCCAGATGGAAAAGCTTCTTCTTCACAAATACTATAATACCCAGCTCGAATTAACAATTAATGAGGTAATTTCAAAAGCTAAACTGGGATTTTGGTCCTTCAAATTAAATAAAGAACACAAATTTCAATTCAATCCCAAATCTTGAATAAAAAAAAGTGGGCCTCTCCCAAAAAATGACATGAATTTAAGCCAATGTAAAAGAGAATTGTGATGGCCCACAGTGATTAATCAGAAATATGTCAGTATCCCATAAAAATAGCTTAAATTTGTGTAACTAAGGTTCAACTCCATAAAAATAGTTTAAATTTGTGTAATTTAGAAAATGGAGAGTGAAAAGAAAAGGGGGGAAAGATGAAAAACATACGACAGGAGGAGGTTGATCGGGAATGGCGAAGCCAGCTTTGAGGAGCTTGGATCCAGCGTCAACCACCACTGCTTCCATTCTTTCTCACTCACTTTCCGCTTCTCTCTCCGGCAGCCCTCTGAATCGTATCACCCAATTATATTATACTTACGAAGTATTTACTCAACCTCTAATGACCCGTGTGATGCATTGTTTTAGTTTTAGAACGATTTCCTTATAAATGGTTGAATTGTAAATTAATTTTTCTATTTGCGTCTGTTAAAAAACTTATTCCTAAACTATAGTTCACTTACAATTGGTAAAAGTTGTGTGTGTGTGTGGGGTTTTTATTTTTTTATTTTTTAAATAAATTTAGGTTTAGTACAACCGTTAAAGTACATTCATAAAGGTCGGTAGATATGTTATTCCTGACCCAACCCGACCCAAATAAGGTAGTACATTGGCATTTGGCATATGCGCCAAACAAAGTGATGCAGATAAAATAGAGGAAGTGAAAACTATGGGAATTGGTGAATAGTTGGTTGGATGACAAAATGAAGGGAGTTGGAATTTACAAACATACTCTGAGGTGAAATTATCGCTGTAATACATGAAATTGAAGCAATTTTAGAGGTTTTGGGATCCGGTGTCAAAAAATCTTAAGATACTAGGTGATACATCCTATAATCATATAATGACATTTGAACCATATATGATCATTATATGTTGGCAAAAATGTTTGTGGTTGCCTTGAGTTAAGAAATTGACGAAAGTCGTAAATGGGTAAATTGACAGTTTAAAGGTAAAGTGGATAGTTCCACACTTCCACCCACCTAAATGGTCTCCTGGGGTGTGTTTGGATCTATGGGAAGTGTCTCGTCATTATTTTTTTCCCGAGTTCAAAAAAGTCAAAATTGTTAAAAATTGAAGACTATAATCCACAATTTTTTGGCCAATTTCAAAAAAAAATTCAAAATAAACTAAATGCATGGGGTGATCCCCGGGGTCATATAAGTTGGTTTGGAATCATAACAAACCTATAAAGATGTCTACAAAATTCTTAATAACCATGGGATCTTATAGGTGTATAAAACCAAAATGTTTATCACAAGATTTGAACTCAAAACCAATAACAAATGTAGTAATGTTCTTACCACCTTTTCTATCTTTTAATTATGTTTCATACTCAATTAAAATACACTAAATACTTTAATTTGTACGAAATATCAATTTGAGAGCGTTTATTCAGTTTTATTAGTTTTATTGTCCACTTATTTTTTGGTAGTTATATATATTATGATTTTTTAGCTTAAATAACATGTATTGATATTCAAAGAAAAACTCGGTGCATCGTCCGGGGCCACACACTATAAACTCGAGGCTACCACAGACATTTATGCCTTCAATCTGTCAATTTACCCGTTTACAACTTACATTGATTTTATACACTCGAGACTACCACGGACATTTATGGCAACATATAATGATCATATGTGGTTTCAAATGACATTATATGACCCTGAGATGTGTCTCCTGGTATCTCGAAACTTTCCGACACCAGGTCTCGAAACCTCCGAAATTGGCCAAAAAAGCGTGTATTATAGCCTTCAATTCTGCCAACTTTTGACTTTTTTTGACCCGAAAACAAAAATTGTCGAGAAGCTACCTATATAACCTAATACCCTCCTAGAGTCCAATTGGGTAGGTGGAACCATCCAATTTGCCTTTAAGCATCTAATTTACCAGTTTCCATACACACTTTTTGTATTGGCTATAAGCTTCGACGGGGCCATTATGTAGCCGACTTATGGCCGTATATGGGTCCAAACAACATCATATGACCTCGAGATGCATCCCATACAATTCCGTGAATTTCCGTACAATTGCTCGATTTCGTGTATTATAGCCTTCAAATTGGGGGATGTTAAATACCGCCATCCAAAATAATCAAAACTGCCAACATTTAGTGTTTATGGATAACCATGCCCTTAGTACTTCACCACTATCTTCCCTCTTGCCACCAATCACTAACACCTCGACACCACCACCACACTGTGGTACCTGGGTTTTAGTGGACAGGAATTAGTCTATAAAAGGTTCCACTTAGGTGTCTAATAAGACTTATAAACAAAACTTAGAGTCGCCACCTTATTTTTATCCGAATAAGGACGAATTTTAAAACAGTCAATTTTAAGAAATTAAAACTTAATAAAAATCAACTGCTAACTCCATAATAGGAAATAAGGCACAGGGTTTGGGGTTTAGGTTAAGAATCGAACGTCTAGAACTCGTCTTCTCTTCCGTTCTATGGAACGGGCTCTTACTATTGCGTTGTCAAAAATCAAGTTTTAAGACATATTAACCACATAAAAAAAATAATTAATACAAGGTAGGTTTGAACACCAAAGTTGCACTACGTACCGATCATAGTGAGATTTTGAATTCACTCACGGATCAAAACCTTCGTAGTTCGGACAGATGCCATGTTTTAAATAACCAATTCCATTGGGTTTTTAATTTGGGTTGTTGACATAAATGTCATTTTCGTAAGTGGGATTTTAGTGATCTTTGACGGATTCACTCATAAAAGTAAAATGAACCACCTTGGTTGAGGAAAATCACCCTGATTAGTGATTACCAAAAATGTCTTTTGAATAAGACAATTCAACAAATGCGTCCCAATTGACGACTTTTTAGTGGGTCAAGGTATTTTTTGGAGCAAAACTGTAAGGGTTCACTATATAATCTCACTTTGGGTTTAAATTCACTCAAAGATAATTTTTGTAAAGTTTTAAGGGTTATGTGTTTAGGCTTAATGGCATTGGCCAAGTAAAACACGACACCTGTCAAGGCCTTACTTCCAAATAAAAGGGAACAATAAACTATTTAATCATATCTGATTGTCAATTAATTCATCAAGTAATTATGATGGGATATAAGTTTATTTTCATGGAGATGGATAATTGTTACAACCTTATATGACTAAATAATTAATCTTAACCTCATGTTTGGAAATGAGGCCATAACCTCATATTAACTATCATTACCTAAAAAACAAACAATCAAAGTTAGAAGGTTCACAAAATTATAAAAGAAAATAATGCTTGTTAAAACTTTTATTTCTAAAGTCTTAAAAGAAAATTAAAGTCCTTAAGACATCATTTATTTCAAAAGGTATCTTAAAAACTAAGATTAAAGATTTTAAAAACAACAACATTTAGAATTAAAGACTCTTATTTCTGAAGTCATCTTTAAAATAAGATTAAAGTTTCTTAAAATAACACTTAGAATTAAGGCTTGTTAAAACTCTTATTTCTAAAATCATTTTTAAAATAAGATTAAAAATATTTTCATTAAAACTTCATAAGTTAAGAAGTATATATATATATATATAATATAGTGTAATATAGGTTTCATACCATCATTAGGTTCTTAAAAAAAATAATAAAATTTTTAAAAAAAGCAATTAAGAGAAAAACGTGCATATTTCATCTTTTTGATAGCTTGAACTAAAAAAATCATTAAAAATCATAGAAAAATCGAAAAAATTATTGTGAGATATGGTTGGAAAGCTCTTGAAAATTTCTATCACTTGAGATAAAGAACTGGAACTTATTTGGGTCGTAAAGGTTCTTTAATAGGCCAACTTTGGGACGTGGTAAGTAATTCCTTACTCTTGAACATCCTCTACATAAACTCTTAATTCACTAGGTCTTTAAGCTCACTTTAAGAAATAAGTCATTCTAAAAAATATGCTTTAGGCAGACACATGAATGTATTTACCTTTCATATTTAAAATGCATTAGAAAGAGATGCAATGCAAAATGCAATTACCCCCCTCTTTTGTAACCTATCACCTCACCAATAGGCTCGGCTTTCTAATGTGGAGTAATGAAAGATTTATGGCTAATTTAGCACCTAATATCTTCATTAGCCCTTGAACTATATGTAGCAATTTTTTGGATAACCCTTCTTACTTATCAAGAATGAAAAGATGATTACTCCTTAGTTAAAGTGTAATAAAGAGATTAAGTGATTTTTTTTTTTGGAATTTTGAGATATTAAAAGAAATTAATGCAAAATAAAGCTAAAGAACTTTTTGTTTTTATTTTTTAATTATAGAAAATAATCTTGAAAAATAAAACTAAAATTAAGAAAGAATTTTTTTTTTTTAGTTTTTTTAATATAGACTAGGATACTTGAGCAATTAAACTAATATTTTTAACAAAGATAATAATAACAACAATACTTAAACTTATAAAAATAAAAATAACAACTTAATTATAAGATGTTTTTTTAATAAGCTAATAACTTTAAAAATAAAGCTAAATTAGAGAGATTTTAACTAAAACAAAGATTAGAGGAGAATTTTTTAGAGAGAATTTTTAGAGAGAGAAGTTGTAAGAATTTTTTGATGTCCAAAACTTGAGAATTAAGGGGGTATTTAGAGGAAAATAAAGGGGTTAATTTGTAAATAAAAGAAAGTAAATAAATTAAAATTCAAGGATTATTTTGGTAAATATCAAGATTTTGGTAATAATGAGAATCTTGATATTAAATTATCTTGTTTTACATGTAACAAACTTGCTAATCTGTTTTGCAACGCTTAAACTGATAAAATAAAGAAAATCGTAATAAAATCAACTCTAATATTCACATAATAAAAAAAAAGGTTCTAAAATGCCATGGTATATATATATATACGACCAAGTCGTGTCATTACTCAAAAAAAAAAAATAAAAATAAAATAAAAAATAAAAAAAATACTCACATGGTATACAATAAAAGAGTGCCTAAATTTAATTAGTCACTATTATACTCACCAAGGTGTTAAAAAAAACACTTATAATAAAAAGTCAGCTCTAAAAGATACACAAATACATTAGGTTACAATACTAATAGGGTTGGACAAAATATCTCAGAGTTAAAAAAAAAAGTAAAAAGAAAAATAACCCCTGCCCTTATTAGATAGTACATATAAATTTACCCCAGAACTTCTGGACATACGACAAAACCTTATACATACGAGCATTTCAAATAATAACTCTTACTAAGAAAAAGTAGATCATATAAAATCATAAGATTGACATGGTCAACGTGAAAATACATCATACAATATTAAGCCATACAACATAAATTTAAGGTGGTCAAGAGTAAAATATATTCCCTTGACCGGATGACCTTAAAAAAAAAAAGGTGAACTCTTATCTTACTTTACTCTACTAAAACACAAATTTATATTTATCATAGTCGTAAAAAAAAAAAAGACAAAAGATACAAAACTAGATCAAAACAACAGAAAAACAAATAAAAACGGAAGCCATACTCACGTCGGCAAAGTAAATTATCATAACAGAAATTACTATTTGGAATAGTGTCAAATAGTGTTTCGAATAGTAAAATACAATACATGACGCGTATGAAATCCTGCTGTCCCAATTAGCGTCGGATAAATATTGATACAATTGATCCAAATTGAAATTCATTGGATACCACATTAACCGCGGGGGATAAAAAAAAAGGTAACGTTAATTTACTATTGACAATTGCTTATCAAAACTGAAGAAGGAATACACAAACTAGATCAGAAAAGGAAAAAGAAAAAGAAAAAAAAAACAAAATAAAGAACAAAACAAAAAGAAAAAAACAAAAGGAAAAAAAAAAACGGAAAGCATCTACATGAATGTCAGATTGTGGATGAAATCTCATAAAGGCAAAAACTAAAAAACACGATACTATTTTATCGCTGAAAAAACTATTCATCTAAAGCTCAACGTAACAAACATACACAATTATACATACGTATCCCTCGTTTACTCTCATCCATACAACACCTAGATAAATATGAACAGGTTAGGTCCGAACTTGTATTTATCGGATCAAGTATTAACTGCGGAACAAAAAGATAAAAAAAACAAAGATATTAGAACAAACGTACATAAAAGGAGGTCCCTTTAGCACTACAACATATAGTACCCATTTAGGTGTGGGAATGTTTGTCATTTCCCTATATTGGTTGGACATGAGTCTTTAGAGTAATGGACTTTATAGCTTAGGTAAATTGGTCATATAATAGGGTAATACACAAATCACAAAAAAAAATCACTAGATAAAATGAAAAAACACTCCAACAGTCTAAGTGAACAAATTAATATACTTACTATACTCTAAAGGGTTAAACAATACTTGTTTATAAGGAAAATGACATATTCCCCTGGCGAGACAAAAAATATTGTACTTTATACTATACGATTATTATACATATACGTATAAAAATACGGTCTAAAATACTTACTTTTACTATAAAAAGAAATTACCCTTATCCAAAATCTCCACTCACCACTTAATTCTTATCTTCTTCCATCTTCCTCCTTACCCGAAAAAAATCAAACAAAAACCATCATGTTTCAAGAAAACCAGGAAGATCAGCCTGTCTTCACCTTTGAGGAAGACATGAGGATGATAAGGGTGTATTTCATGTACATTGTGGGGCTAGTGGTCCTCCTAATGGCTGTATTAATTTACTTGTTAATCCATAAGTAAAAACCCGAAAATTACTTCGGTGGAGCAGGGTAGAAATGTATGTAGTGTCAGTTGTACTTCAATATTTTGTAATTTAGTAATTTAGAAGTACAAATTGTAACATGTATTTTGGAAATTATGAATAAAAATCATTATTATTACTCGTTTCCTTCGTTTTATGTAATAAAACAAACGTTATTAAGTTTATTAAAATAATTAGCAAAATAATAATTATTATTTGCAAAAAAATAATAATTATAGTAATAAAAAATAATTAATAGTGATGATTAAAAAGGTAGGATTAAAATTTGGTGTCTATACACGCCGATTGGCAATGTAATCGAAGCTTAAGACCGGTGAAAATCGGAGCTGAAAATCGGTTAAGGTGTATGGTAATCGGAGCTGAAAATCGGTTAAGGTGTATGGTAATCGGAGCTGAAAATCGGTTACCATACACGGTAATCGAAGCTTAAAACCGGTTACCATGCGTGGTAATCGGTTTTGGGCTCCGATTACCTCGCATGGTAACCGGTTTTGGACTTCAGTTATTGCAGTTGCCAAAAAAAACCACCATCATCTCGACGACATGGGAAGGTGGTGGGTCGTCATAGAGGGAGGGTGGTGGGTCACCTATCAGGGTGGTGATGGTCATTGCTGGTCAAAAGGGGTTGTGGGTCGTCGGGAGGATAAAGGGGTGGTGAATTAGTAAGGGTACGATTGTCCAATCACACCAAGTCACCAATGTTGGCGGTGGTGTTCATTTTTGTTGGCGATGTTTACCAATCCACTTTAATTTCCGTACATCATTTTTTCTTCTGACAAGTTTATGCATCCAAGTATTGGGTTCCCTGAGCAAGAAGCCTATAGCTCAGTGGAGCTAAGCTTCATTCCTGTGGTAGTGACCCGGGTTCGAGGCTCATATCCCCCCTCCCCTGTGGGTAATACCCCCTTGATATTCCTGTGATAGGAAATTAAGGTGGGGCCCACCCCTTACCCCTAAAAAAAAAAAAAAAAAAAAAAAGTATTGGGTTCCCTTAGTACGATAATCAAATCATCAAACACGCTAATAATTTACTTTTGAAATTCCAAAGATATTTGCCCGCCATTTTATTCATTTCCTCTCACTCATACTCACTCAAACACCTCTCCAAAATTATTCAGCAAGATTTTTCGTTTTCCACCCCTTAATTTCTTCCTCCGATTCAATTTTTCCGATCTTCTGCAAACAACAATGGCTTCTTCTTCTGTTCAATTAATCATCGACGACGATGAAGAGGTACTTTCTCTATCTTCCTTCCCCATTTTTCAATTTCATTCAATTTATCCCCAAATCAATTTTTTTTCCAACAATTTTGCAGGATTTCGATTGGGAAGCAGCAGTTCGAGAAATCGATGTTGCATGTCAGAGCACCGCCGCTAAAACCCTAGAAACGCCGCCACCTCAACCTCAACCTTCCAATGTTACTTTTGGCGGCAATAATTTCTGGAAGAATCATCAATTAAACAAAGTTCCGAATAATTCCCGTCAATTAACGCTTGATAGATTTATTAGTAATGGGTCTTCGAAAATGGGTGTCGAGAATGAAATTGAATGTCGAGGTGATGATGAGCAAATTAGGGTTCATGAAAGGGCGTGTTATGTAGATATTGATCTTGAGGCTGCTAAAACTTGGATTTATCCAGGTAGGTTTTCGAAAAATCTTGATTGTTGAAATGTTAGGGTTAGAAAATTGGGGCAAAAATTACAATTGGATAATCTGGCTAGCACATTATTTTGTATATTTTGAATTCACTTTTCAATTGTGTGATTTGACTACTGTAAAATGGAGAATGCCATAACTCCACTGTAGCTTTATTATACATCTATCTACTATAAGAGTGTAAGTCTATAAATACCCATGTATTATGATTCAGCTATGGAACTTGGATTTTTGAAATATTTATATAAGCCATTCTTCTTTTAATTATGAATGTTTTGGTTGAAATTGAAGTATTTAAGTGTTTATCTCTATGCCCGGTTGTTGATTTTTTTGACCCTGTGGTACATGTACAATCGTAGCGTGTGTGTACTTGGCGAATGGTTCCTCTGATTATTCTTACTTCGGGACAGGGAAAGTTCCTGTTTGTGTTATCTTAATGTGTAGTGATTTAGTTACTACGTAATATTTGTGATATGAGACCATCAAGTTGTAGATAGCTTGGCTCATGGAATCCCATCTCCTATCTGTTTTACAGATAATGTTCCTCGTCGTGAGTATCAACTTGAAATAGCCAGGACAGCTTTATTTTCGAACACATTAGTGGCACTACCTACAGGCCTGGGAAAAACTCTCATTGCTGCTGTTGTTATGCATAACTACTTTAGATGGTTCCCTGAAGGTAATGCTCATTGGGTTCAGCACTTTCGCCGCGTGGACTTATTGAGAGAATGAAATCATGAACCTTTTGGAAGTTATATACCCTTTTTTTTTTCTTTCTAAAATCATGATGTGCTTTTTATGACATTGATACCTTGACTCCCTCTTCAATCGCAGGTAAGATAGTTTTTGCTGCTCCTTCGAGGCCCTTGGTTATGCAACAAATAGAAGCCTGCCATAATATTGTCGGTATACCACAAGTAAGTTGGTGGCTTTCTTTTGCACTTATACCGAGAATTTTGCTGAAAGTTCACATTGCTTCATATATAGACATGTTTTGAGAAGAATTAAATATAAGTGATTGCAGGAATGGACAATTGATATGACAGGTCTTATAAGTCCCCCCAAAAGAGTATCCTTGTGGAAAGCTAAACGTGTATTCTTTGTCACACCCCAAGTGCTTGAAAAAGATATTCAGTCAGGTGATGTACCTCCGGTGTATTGCTTGTGAAAATGTGATCTAAAATTTATGGTAACAATTGGTTTAAGATTGTGTGCTTTTTTCCCATCCTTGTTTTTAGGTGGTGCTGGGGGTGGGATTGGGTGTGTGTTACAAAAACATCTTTTTTTTTTTTTTGTTTGCAAGCTCTAGTTTGTGTGCTCTAGGAACAGGTGCTGTCTTTTCGAGTATTTCATGAGATTTATTTTCCATTTGCATTCTTTTGCAATCCATACTTGTCTAGAAAGTGATGCTAAAGCTAGACAGTTGTTAATTGGGGATTTTTATTTCAGTCTTGTTGCTTTCCGATTCAATCTCTCTCTCTCTTTTTTTTTTTTTTTTTTTTTTTTTTTTTTTTTTTTTCTGTTTTCACAAAATCCTTTCCTCAATGTGCTATTGTTTTAGACAATTTTGTCAAAATGCAGTTTCATCGTATAATTTTGTGCCAACTCTTGCTCCTTTTTTTTTAATTTTTTTTTTAATAGTGTGCTGTATGCTTGTTTATCTTTCTCAAGGTCATTATTGTTAGTTACAATATTTTGTTATAAATATCAGGGGCTTGTCTTGTGAAGTCGCTGGTGTGCCTAGTGATTGACGAGGCTCATCGTGCAATGGGGAACTACTCTTACTGCGTGTCTGTTCGTGAGGTTGCTTAAAGTTTCCTGTATATTTATGATTTATGTCCAGTACGTTTGCACATCAATATTAACATTGACTTGACGCTTAGGTGCAACTTCTTTGTTCTGTTCACAGCTGATGGCAGTTCCTATTGAGATAAGAATATTAGCTTTGACTGCTACCCCTGGCTGTAAGTTTGCCATCCATTTTTCTCCTATAAGTTTTGTTGGTCTTCCGTAATGTTAACATATAGATTTGGTTTCAGCAAAGAAGGAAACTATTCAGCAGGTAATTGATAACCTGCAAATATCTACGCTTGAATATCGCAATGAAAGTGATGCTGATGTATGCCCTTACGTACACAATAGGAAGCTTGAACTAATCGAGGTATGAGGAAGCACAAGGCAATACGGTATGCTACTGATTTTGTGTGGTTAAAATTCCCATTCACAGTTGGACCCTCCCTATGTAGGTTCCAATGGGGAAGGATGCTGATGAGATACATAATCTTCTCGTGGAGGTTATACGGCCACTTGCTGCCAGGCTTTGTGCAATGGGAGTGCTACCAGGCAGGGACTTCCAAACAGTATGTCCCCCCCCCCCCCCCCCCCCCCCCCCCCCCCCCCCCCCCCCCCCCCCCCCCCCCCCCCCCCCCCCCCCCCCCCCCCGCCCTCCCTCTTTCCTTACTCCATATATGTAATGAGAAAATTAAGTGAAAGTGCTGAGATGATATAGATTACCTATTGTAAGTATGAAACCCATTGGGCTATTTGAGATTTTTTTTTTTTTTTTTTTAAAATGCCTCTAATGCTAATACTTAGTGTGAAATTGATGAAATATATTATCTAGTACTCCCTCTGTTTCCAAAAGAGTATCCATTTTATGTTTTTTGAGGTGTATTTATCTGATATACCCATTTCTACATAATTCTACTCTTATACCCCCTCACCCCACAATATTTACACCTTTCCACTCTCTCTCACTTTATTCCCCCTTTTCTTATACTCACCCACCCTTTTAACCTCTCTCTCTTTCTTAAGCTACCTTTTTATTACACCCACTCAACTCAATTCTGCAAAACAAGAGTCAACAGAAAATAGATACCTCAAAAGAAAAAGGAGGGAGTATGTTTCTTTGTGCGGTAATCTCATCCAATTCAACATGATTGTTTTCCATCAAACCGAAAAACCATTCACTAGCATATCTCCGATTAACTTTGATCATTGAGCTTGGTGAGCACTAATAAGATGATTATCACCTAGACAAATTAATCCCACCAGTGCATAAATCAAGCATTTTGAAACCTTTGTGGGCTTAATATCAAATATAAGAAGAGCACTTTTTTTAAGTAGAAACACATTCAAATCCCATGGTTATGTGGTGTTTTACATTCATTATATTCGGAAATTCCTCTTTTTAGGTATTTTAATCTGTTTGATTTGACACCCTTGTTTTCTGCCTTTCTCCTTGGGCACTGAGCTACTAATTTAACATTTTACCTTCAACAGTTGAGCCCTTGCGATTTGCTGAATTCAAGGGATAAATTTCGACAAGCACCACCGCCAGAACTTCCGCAAGTGAAGTATAGTGAAGTAGAAGGTTACTTTGGTGTTCTTATTACACTCTACCACATACGCAAGCTACTCTCTAGCCATGGAATAAGACCAGCACATGAGATGCTTGAAGAAAAGCTGCGACAAGGGTATAACTCTCTTACCACCTATGATGTCCACACAGTAGATAGTTGTATGGTAGTTAATGTCTTTTTATATTGGAGATTGGACTTCATATCTGAAATTGTAGTTTTGAGAGAAACCAAGCAATGTTATATGGAAAATATAAGCCACATACTCTTATTAGGCTACAAATTTTCTTTGTCAGTTGCCATTACTGGCTTTAACTAAGCATTATTTTTATTGACACACTGGTCTAATGTACTGTTTAGTGATTTGATAAATTTTGCTCAAAATTTTAACTTAGATCAAAATTGTTACTTCTTTTTAAACACGTTTTTTTTTAATGGTGGCAGAAGCTTTGTTCTCTGAAGATGCTGTTGTTTGATTGATTTGTGGCAGGTATTTTGCAAGACTTATGAGTAGAAATGAAGCCATTCAGAGTGCAAAGATTTTAATGCAGAAGAGTCTGTCGCATGGTGCCCCCAGCCCAAAATTGTCGAAAATGATAGAAATTTTAGAAAGTCACTTCAGTATGTATCTCTGCTTTGTTTCATTATTTGATATACAATTTCTATTCTAGCATCACTATGTGTTGGCATTAGTGTGTAGAATGGACCGAGCTAACTGTAAAAATGCTTATGGATCACACCTTGTGGCATCCATCCTCTGGTAAAGTAGGGAAGCTGCGTTCTTTAAATAAAGACATGTTCTGTAAATTCTTGCAGAATAGAGATCATTAGTCAATTGATTGCATAATATAAGGTGCTTTGGTTAGCAAGAAGCACTTTCCACAATTGCTTTTACGCAGGTCTTCTCTCTGTCTGTTTAGAATATAGCTCTTTTTCTTGAGATGTTCTACAAATTTATTTGACAGCTGATTCTTCTTAGGTATAAAGCATTTAAAACACTGCTTTCAATTTTATTTGGTACCAACTGAAATCAATAGACAAACAGCGAAACTGCAAACCAGGAAGTTAGAGAGGGAATAAAATACAGCAACGATGAGTATTATATGCAAGAATGAAATGTTGAGAGAACTTTTCAAGCTCTTCATTCCAGTCTTGAACGCTTAGAAAGCAACTCCAGAGTCCAGAGAAGCTTATCTCATTCAAATTTGCCTACATGCATGTATCAAATTTCTCTGAAAAGAGAAGGTAGAGAAAAGGGTTAACAGGTTAGGTGGTAGTTCTAGGAATGAGATCCTATCCTATCAAATGTTAGATGAATCACTTTTTTTTTTTGTGTGTGTGTGTGTGTGTGTGAGTGAGTGTGTGTAGCTCTTATCTATTCATGATAATAAAATAAAGTAAGAGGCATGGGTGCTTTAAACTAAGTGCCTCATCTTTACTTATGTACAAGAACATACTGGTGCTAATGCATGGATTCAACAAATTTTGAGTATTAAAGGTTTGGAGGCTTGTGGTGTAAAGTTAGAAAATTAACTCCTGAATTATTATAGGAGATTTATTATTAATATATTTGTAACATTTTTTAGGGGAGGGTTTGGGGGAAGATTTCCATTTCGCATGAAAAGCAATATTATTGCTTAAGCACACTCCTCGACTGCTCATGATTGTTATCTTGTTTCTTTTTCAAAATTATATCAAAATATGGGGGATATGATATGAAATTTTTTGCTTTTTTTTTTTGCAGCAACAAATGATCCAGCAAAATCAAGGGTAATCATTTTTTCAAATTTTAGGGGGAGTGTCAGGTGAACAAAACTATATTTAATAAGAATTTTGAATTTTTCTTTTGATTTTGGTTGTCTACGTTTGCTTTCTCTATTGAACTTGATATCTTATAGGTAACTGACTTCTCCATTGTCACATTGATTTTAACAGGGACATATTAGATTCATTAGCCCATGTTGGTTCAGTCAAAGCAACTCAATTTATTGGTCAAAGTTCAGGTTTGTACAAATAAGTCTGGAAATTCCTTGCTTTATTTAAAGGCTGAAAGAAGTATGTTGATTAATGAAGCCTTAAAAGTGCATATGTGCCACAGTGATAGATGCTTTTTAAGTGAGTATTCTTTGGTGTGAGTAATTGTAATTGTGTTTGTAATGTCTACTAGGGAGGCCTTGGGCTTCTTTTGTACATAAGTAAGGATTTCATGACTTTGCTTCTTGACATTAATATCATTGCAATTGGTTTCAAAATTTCGAGAGTTGTTCCAGTTTGAACAATTTCACTTGAAGCTATATGTAACCATAAAGTGACTTTAATTGCTGCTTGCCTCACTCTCTCTGGAGTTGTGTGTGGTGGGAAGTTTCAGATGAGTAAAATATCAGATGGAATTGAATCTGTCAGGGTATATAAATATTCTGCATGTAGTTTTTCGAAGCACTCTAGGTGCTATGAACACCTATATGAAATTCGTTGTCTTCTATCTCTTATCCAAGTAGTATAAGGCTCTTAGCCTACCGTGCAGAAGTTGAGGTTCACTGATATTGCGTCTTTGCCATATTTTACTTCTCTGATTGAGGCTGATGAATGGTTTTATAGAGCTTTATCTCGATTTACTGGTGCAGAATTTTACAGTTTTCTAATTTCTGATAATGCCACTGGTTTTGGTTTCGTTTCTGTATGTCTTGTTTTGTTGTGAAATCAAAATTTATGATTTCTTTCCTGAAGTGGGTCTTTTATACTATGCTATTTTCCAGGAAAAACATTGAAAGGCCAGTCACAAAAGGTTCAACAGGCAGTTCTTGAGGTAACAATCAGTATGCGACATAAAATCCAGAATTTCTGCTCTCAATCTTATAATTCCTCTGCCTTTTGGGACAGAAATTCCGTTTGGGTGGATACAATGTTATTGTTGCCACATCAATTGGTGAAGAAGGGCTTGATATTATGGAAGTTGATCTTGTGATATGTTTTGATGCTAATATATCTCCTTTGAGGATGATTCAGCGGATGGGAAGAACAGGAAGAAAACATGATGGTCGAGTTGATATCCTTGACTAGATTCCCTTTCTCTCTATGGTTTCTTTTGTGCTTGTTGCCTATGAGTTTTGTTTATGCTTGTGAATGTTTGTGATCCTTGACCTGCATTACTTGTATTAGCTTGTGAGGGTACTGAGCTAAAAGGTTATAAACGGAAACTAGCAACTGGTAAGACTGTTGGGAAACACATGCGAAATGGGGGCATGAATAGTTTCACTTTTCATTGCAGCCCAAGGATGGTAAGTTTAACCACAGGCATTCCTGTAGATTACATGTTTCAGCTGTTGATCTGATGTCTGTACTTTTTTATTTTCTGCGTGATCTGCTGCAGCTTCCTCATCATCTGAAACCAGAACTGCAATTTGTAGAACTATCAATTGAAAAATTTATTCGTCCAGTGAAAAAGGTTAAAGTTGATTCCCCCCAACAACCAAAGTTCAGGGAAAGGCTCACTGAAGCTGAATCTGCGTTGTTAGAAAAATACTTTTTGTCTAATGAGGCAATAAAACCATCTCTAGTTGCCTTTCCTTTTTTCCAGACGTGTCCCTCCAGGGTGCACAGAATAATGCATTCATCTCGATCCGGATGGCTCATTGATGCAATGCAGCTTCTTCGAGGGTTGCCATCCAATACTGGCGAAAATTGTGGGCTTGATGTATGTCAACAGACTACACCTATGGTCTTTGTACAACACTTTTTAATTTATCCTTTAATCAGCCATGACCTTACACTTTAGCTTTCATTTTTATATTGCAGTTTCCGAGGAGTACTCGGTACTTGATAACTGGGAGTGTTGAAAAATATACTGAAAATGGAAGAGGTAATACACTTTTGTTAATTCATAAACATATACAGATATACTCCCTCTGTCCCTAAATATATGCCCCATTTTCCGTTTTAGCTCGTCCCATGGTGAACCATCTTGTCAATATGCTTTATGAATTTAGATCTTGGCAGAGTTAAGCATAAAGATTGTCCTCTACTTTTTTACTTCTTCCTGTCTGAATCATTTGTCATACATGGTCTACAATTGTTTATCGCCCCTGTCTGGCTGATGACTTAAACGCTGAAAATGAGATTGAGACAGTAGCATTTTTGTCAACGATGGGTGGTTGGTGGTGCTTTTTATTATGTGGTTTTATCCTTCATCCGTATGGGCTATAACACTTGACAAATACCTAATATCAGATGCATGTATTTACTTTATTACTTACTACCTCCGTTTCTAAAAGTCCTTTACACTTAATGTTTTCCTTCATTTCAGAAAGAACTTGGCTTCTAGAAATTTTGGTTTTTCATGGGACTTTACAAAGTGTAATTTTTACTGTTTAATGTATGTGCTTCAAGAAAACATTGACAATTGATGAAAACAAATTCTTGTGCAGATATACTTGATCCTTTAGATTATTCTGCTGCACCGAAAGAAAAATCCTACTCTGAGGTCTCTTCATTTGGCCCTTCAGTGGCTGAGGAGAAGCACATGCTCAATTCTCCTGATAGATTACTCGAAATTCCAGTTCCTCTTCCAGTTATTTTGCCGTCTAACAAAGTTACAATGCTGGATTCTTCCGCTCAAGATGTATGCGAAGCTCATTCAAGAGTCAGGTCTCACTTACCAGCTGGTGACAAGAATTGTGACGCAGCTGAAGTGGATTCAATAATTGTCCTTACCTCACCTGATGACCAGATTTGTGCAGATGAAAGTATTGGATGTGAGACTGCTGATGCAACAGAACCCAAATCCCCAGCTACACCAGCTGCAGAATGTGACTTAGATAACGCATACTCTGATTTCAGTCCTCGTCTAACCAGCTTTATTGAAAGTGGTGTTGTTCCAGAGTCTCCTCTGAGTGATGCTGGTAGGTGAAATGAAAAGTCAAGTTTTCATCTCTTCAGCTTATTTGAAATCATGAATTTCATGTTTTCCTCTACTCACTATCTGCAGGAGAAGGTATAATAGTATCTAAGAAAGAGGACAATGTTGTAGACTGGAACAGTGGTGAAGAGAAAGATAAAAGTCATGTCCAAGAGCCCGTATTATCTCCCAATTGTGGAACTTTGTTAACTATTGCTAGTAAAGAGATTACTGTTACCTCATCTCCTCAGACAATAGAGGTCAGACCTGGTGGAAGTGAAATGTCATTGGGACTACCTGATGGTCTCTTGAAATTGGGAGACACCTTTCAACCCCCATCTTCCCCAGAATTTCAAACTCCTTCGCGAAATAAAACAAAGAGCAGCTGTGCCGAAGATTGGTGTATGAGTTCTGGAAAACAGTCAGGATCCAATGAACGTCTTCTTAGATTAAAAAGATTGCGCAGGATTGGGGATTTTGCCAAAGAGAAACAACAAATTAGTGTAAAAGAAAAGCCAACTCACTCCTCTGTAGAAGTTTCATTTGAATTCACTGATGATCATCATAAGACTGTCAGGCATAACAAAGGTATCCTATATATTACTTTTTGTTGGCTTTACTACCCTACTTATCATGTTGTGAAATTTGAAAAAGTTTTTTTGTATCATGTACTTCATGTATACCTCTACTCTCTATCTGCAGGTGAAGGTATTGTACTATCTAAGAAAGAGGATGATGTTGTAGATTGGCACAGTAGTGAAGATAAAGATGAAAATCGTGTCCCAGAACCAGAATTATCTCCCAAAGCTTGTGGAAATTTGTCAACTATTTCTAGTAAAGAGATTATTGTTGGCTCTTCCCCTCAGACAAGAGAGGTCAGACCTCTTGAGAATGAAATGTCATTGGGACTACCTGATGGTCTCTTGAAATTGGGAGGGACCTTTCAGCCCCCATCATCCCCAGAATTTCGAAGTCCTTTGCAAAATATAACAAATAGCAGTTGTGACGAAGATTGGCATATGAGTTCTGGAAAACAGTCTGGGTCCAGTGAACGTCCTTTTAGATTGAAAAGGTTGCGCAGGATTGGGGATTTTGTCAAAGAAAAGCAACAAATTAGTGTAAAAGAAAAGTCAATTCACTCCTCTATAGAAGTTGCATTTAAAGTCACTGATAAGACCAGGCATAACAAAGGTATTTTATAAATTACTATTTGTTGGCTTTATTACCCTCATCATATTGTGAATGTGAATAGATTGTCTCAGCCTAAGTTTTTGCAGGGAAGCATCTCCTCTGATGCTTGCATAGTTGCATGTATGCATTAAATTCTCTCTGACATACTAACAAGTCCTCTTCCATTGATTACTACTGCTTCAGTGAAAAAACCATTTGAAGATGCCAGAGACTTCATTGATGAAGAAGCTGAGTAAGTGAATAGTTAAAATTTCTGTGCCACACCGCCACCCCTTTGTCCTCCCCCCCTTACATTTTATTTCTTTTTTTTTTTAATGAAAAGAGTGAATAATTCCAATTCCAACGCTTTTCTATATTCCAGTTGTCCTAAAATGCAGCTTATATTCCTTTTAAAAAAAATTTAAAAAAATTTAAGCTTTAATGGATCTGTGGACTATTACGGAGTGTAATTTATCCTGTGAGGAGATCTAAAATTTAGTAGTAATGCAAGTGTTACTGGAAACCAATTGACTTAATTTAATCGTTGATTCTCAGGGTGTCCTCGGAAGATGTGGTGCCAGATTCAGAAGATGAGGTTAATAATGAAGATAGTGATGCTTATGAAGAGAGTTTTATAGATGACCAATCTGATCCGGCAGTTGGTAGTGGTCAAACAGAAGATAGTAAAATGGATATGATGGCAATTTACAGGTTCTTCCTATAAACTTAAGACTGTCTGCACGTGTGTGTGTGTGTGTGTGTGTGTGTGTGTGTATATATATATATAGTAAAATGGATACGATGGCAGTTTACAGGTTCTTCCTATAAACTTAAGACTGTCTGCACGTGTGTGTGTGTGTGTGTGTGTGTGTGTATGTTACTTGGTAGTTCTATATCACCCATGCAATTGTTTGGTGTATTAAAACTACCATAAACCGTTCAGTGCCTTTTGCTCAATAGGTTTGTGCTTTATGCCAAAATCTGCTCAAAGTGGGACTAAATGCTCTTAATGCTAGAAATTCATAGTGTAAGTCATATCATTTAAAATTTATAATCCCCATTTGAAACAGGCGTTCCCTACTCACTCAATCACCATTTCAAGAACAGCAGAAACATTTTAGTGTAGTAACTCCAGAGTCTCTGCCTTCTGTTACCACAATGACAGAAGGTGGAGAATCCATTGGGAAGACTTGCACTCTACAAACTCCTCAAGGCTCTTTGAAATCTCGTAATATATCTACAAGGAACTCAGTAGGTTCTTGTTTGAATTCGATAGCATGTGAAGGTATAAAAAGCGGCAGTAGCAATTCTTTGGTAAATGTGGCTAATACTGAGAGTTCAAAAAGAAAAATGATTTCAAACAGAGCTTTTACTCTTCCTGCAAAGAACCTGGAGAAGGAGTTCTGCTCTGATTCAGCACTTCCAAGCAAAGAAGCACCGTTACCATATCAATGCAATGGTATTGATGCAGAATGTGCTTCTCTCTTGGATGATCAATTTTATGAAGGCCTTGATCTTGATGAATTGGAGGCCCAGGCTGCTAAACTTCTAAGTCAAAGAACAGGGTCATCTGTGCAAAGAAGAAAAATATCCGAACCCTTGCCACAGGACTCTGCTCTTGTAAATCCTCCATCATTTGATCTTGGAATCTCATGATTATATACAAAGTTCCATTGTGTTACTGGTTTGTGATTGGTTCAGTGCTGCTAGAAGCTTCCTTTCTAAACAGAGAAGTTACAGAAATAAGAAGTGTCATATTACCCTCCTAAACTCGGCTCCAACATGATGAGATTCTTTAGCTTCAACAGACCATCTTTAGTTGCTAATGGTATTACATTTGTATGATATAGCTGCATTAACATGAGTTAATGACTGCCTAGAAGCCCAATGGCCTTCTATTAAGTTATGAAAATGTAACTCTATGTTTATGTGAGAAAGTTTTGTGTATATCCTACCTGTACAGTCGGTGAAGCTAGTACTATAATTTTTTTGTACTAGTATTGAAATTTTGAGGTGTATAATTTGAAATGTGTTCTGGAATAAAATGCTTGTCTTTCTCTAAAAATATATTTGACTATTGTTGAACATCATGACGATCATTGATTAATGAATACATGATACGCCTTGTTTGTAATCATTAAAAAAACAAATTTATGGCGGAAAATATTCATTTACCTAATTTGCGCAGTTAATGCTTTTTTCTAAATTCTAATACTAGTATTATTTAGTGAAATGTGCTCTGGAGAAAAAATGTCTAAATTTTCACCTAAAATACATGATCGTCAGAAATCTTCAGAAAACTATAAATTTACGACGGAAATATACATTTACTTTTTTTTGAATAGAAATATACATTTACTTATATTTGCACAGTTTGTGCTTTTCCAATATTGCCATTTAAGCTAGAGTGGACATTCCATGATTTGAATGCCAGTGCAGAGCTATAAATAATAAACTTTTACTCCGTATTAATTTACCTCAGAAGACAAATAAAATAAAAGAAGGCAGGATTACAACTTTGACAAATATTGCATCCCATAACATACTTATAGCTTAATCTTTAGACCTGTGCAATTATTTTAATGATATCTTCTTTTTTCTCTTTGATAGTAATTGTTTAATGAATTTTAACCGAAATGTTATTATGGAGTATTATTATTTTAAATAGGATTAGGAACCATTTAAGGGGAGTAGGAGCCTAGGAGGTTGCCAAATCAGAAGTAATTATCATTAGAGCTGTCAAAAGTTGACCCGACCAGAAATACCGACTCAAACCGGATTATTAACAGACCCATCTGAACCCGAAAAAATAGTGGCCCAAATCCGACCTAACCCGACCTGAAACCAACCCTAGACCCGAGGTGACCTGAGTATGTGAGACCCGAACCCCAACATGAACAGACCTGGAGATGACCCGACCTGAATGTAACCCGTAAATTATTGACCTGAACCGAACTGGACTTGAACCAAAATTGACCCAAACCCGTTTTAACCCGTTAAAACCCGAATTTAACCCGACTTGTTACTAACCTTACATGAATTCAACCCGACCCGTCCTAACTCGACCCGAATTTAACCCAACCTGTTATAAACCCGACTCGAAATCAACCCGACTAGTTATTGACCTGACCCAAATTCAACCCGACTTGTTATTGACCCGACCCGAATTTAACCAGACCTATTACTAACCCGACAAGAAAAATCAAACCGATCTATTAATAACCCGACTCGAAATCAACACGACTTGTTATTGACCCGACCTAAATTCAACCCAAATTGTTCATGACCCGATTTCAAATCACCTTAAATGCAATTTAGACCACCTTATTATTGTTGATCAAAACATTTTGTCTAGGGAGACCAAGTCGGTTCAGGCCAGCAAAAGAAAGGAGCATCATCCTCAAATTTAAGAGTTAAATATAGTATATATTTGTTGTATGGTCAAGGAGATAATTATATTCCTAAATTATAAACTATAGTTCCCTATTATATTGCCATATATATTATAGTCAAAGGAAATAATTAGCTTGATAAAAATGATAATTATCTATTTTAGTTAGTTGAACCCGAATATGACCAGACATAATTGTAACCTGCAAATTATTGACTTGAACATAACCCGACTTGACTCCGAGAATGACCAGATTTGGAAATGAGTCAAATGACCCAACATGATTATAACCCGGAAATTACATTTAAACGACCGATTTACAAGTTTACAACTTGCACCGATTTCATTAACTCAAGCCTACCACAAACATTTATGACAACATATAATGATCATATATATGATTCCAAAATTCATTACATGACCCCTAGATATATCCTCTAAAATTTCAATGATTTTCGATATCGGGACTCGAAACCTCCAAAACTTCTTAGAAAGCGAGGATATTAGCCTTAAATTTTTGGAATTTCTCAAAACTTTTTTTCTCCTGAAAATAAAAATTACCAAATGTTTACCATGGTCCTCAATATCCTCCGGTAGTCCAATTGAGTGGGTGTAACCACCAATTTGCCTCTAAATGGCCAATTTATCGATTTACAACTTACATTGATTTCATTGACTAAAGCCTACCACGAACATTATGAAGACTTATAATGATCATAAATGTTTCCAATCTACATTAAATGACCCTAAAATGTATCCCCTAAAATCTAAAGGCTTTTCAACACAGGTCCCTGAAACCTTCAAAATTTTCCAAAAAACATGAATATTAGCCTTTAATTTTGAAATTTTTTGACTTTTTTTCGCCCGTAAATAAAAATTGCCGAAAAGTTAACCATGGTCCTTAACATCCTCCGGGAGTCCAATTGAATGGGTGGAACCATCCAATTTGCCTTTAAACGACCAATTTAACGGTTTATAACTTGCACCGATTTCGTTAACTCAAGCCAATCACGAACATTTTTTACAACATATAATGATCATATATGGTTCAAAACGGCATTATATGACCCGGAGATGTGTCCCCTAAAATTTCAAGACTTTTCGACGTCGGGCCCTGAAACCTCCAAAATTTCTCAAAAAGCGTGGATATTAGTTTTCAATTTTAGAATTTTTTGACTTTTTTTCGCCCGAAAATAAAAATTGCCGAAATGTTGAGTATGGCCCCTAATAGCCTCCGGGAGTCCAATGGGGTTGGTGGAACCATCCAATTTGCCTTTAAACGACCAATTTAATTATCGGTTTACAACTTGCACGGATTTTATTAACTCAGGCTTACTACGAACATTTATGACAACATATAATGATCATATAAGGTTTCAAACGACATTATATGACCCCGAAACGTATCCCCTAAAATATTAATACTTTTCTACACCGGTCCTCGAAACCTCCAAAATTTTTCAAAATCGTTGATATTAGTCTTAAATTTTTAAATTTTTGGATTTTTTTTCGCCTGAAAAAAAAAAATTGCCGAAATGTTTAACATAGTCCCAAATACCTTCCGGGAGTCCAATTGGGTGGGTGGAACCATCCTATTTGCCTTTAATTGACTAATTTACCGGTTTACAACTTGCACCGATTTCATTAACTCAAGGCTGCCACGAACATTAATGACAACAAATCATGATCTTATATGGTTCAAAACGGCACTAAATGACCCTAAGATGTATTTCCTAAAATTTCAAGCCTTTTCGACATCAATCCCGAAACCTCCAAAATTAATAAAAAAGCGTGGATATTGCCTTCAATTTTAAATTTTTGACTTTTTTCTGCCCGGAAATAATAATTGCCGAAATGTTTTCCATGATCCCTAATACCGACCGGGTGTCCCACTGGGTGTGTGGAACCATCCAATTTGCTTTTAAACGACCAATTTACCGGTTTACAACTTGCATAGATTTCATTAACTCAAGCTTACCACGAACATTTATGACAACAAATAATGATCATATATGGTTCCAAACAGCATTATATGTCCATGAGATGTATCCTCTAAAATTACAAGACTTTTCGACACCGGGCCGTGAAATCTCTAAAATTTATGAAAAAGCTTGGATATTAGTCTTCAATTTTTGACTTTTTTTTTTTCGCCTGGAAAAAAAAAATCGCCGAAATGTTTTTCATGGTCCCTAATACCCTCCGGGAGTCCAATTGGGTTGATGTAACCATCCAATTTGCCTTTAAATGGCTAATTTATTTACCGGTTTATAATTGCACGGATTTTATTAACTCAAGCCTACTACGAACATTTATGACAACATATAATGATTATATATGGTTCCAAACAGCATTATATGATCCCGAGATGTATCCCCTAAAATATTAATAATTTTCTATACCGGGCCCCGAAACATCTAAAATTTCTCAAAAAGTGATGATTATTAGCATTCAATTTTGAAATTTTTTGATTTATTTCGCTCGAAAATAAAAATTGCCGAAATGTTTACCCTTGTCCCTAATACCCTCCTGAAGTCCAATTGGGTGGGTGGAACCATCTAATTTTCCTTTAAACGACCAAATTACTAGTTTATAACTTGCACCGATTTCATTTATTTAAGCCTACCACGAACATTTATGATAACAAATAATGATCATATACGGTTCCAAACGACATTATATGACCCCGAGATGTATCCCATAGAATTTCAAGACTTTCGACACCGGGCCTCGAAACCTCCAAATTTTTCTCAAAAGGTGTGGATATTAGTCTTCAATTTTGGAATTTTTTGTCTTTCTTTCGCCCGGAAATAAAAATTGCCGAAATGTTTATTATGGATTCTTATACCTTCCAGAGGTCCAATTGGGTGTGTAGAACCATTCAATTTGCTTTTAAATTGCCAATTTACCGGTTTACAATTTGCACTGACTTACGGGTTTACAACTTGCACCGTATTACGGGTTTACAACTTGCATTGAACCCGATTTGAACCGAAACTGAACCAAACCCGATTTAACCTGTCAAAATCCGAAATAAACCTGACTTGTTACTAACCCTACCTTACTTCAACCCGAACCGTACCTAACCTGACCTGAATTTAACCTAACATGTTACAAACTCGGCCTGAAATCAACCCGACTTGCTATTGGCCTGACTCAAATTCAACCCGACTTGTTATTGACCTGGCCTGAATTTTACCATATACCTATTACTTACCCAACCCAATAATTCAACCCGAGTTGTTACTAACCCGAATCGAAATTAACACGACTTGTTATTGACATGATTTTAATTCAACCTAAATTGTTCTTGACCCGATTTCAAATCACCTTAAATGCAATTTAGACCACCTTATTATTGTTGATCAAATCATTTTGTCTTGAGAGACCAAGTCGGTTCAGGCCAGCAGGTAATTATAATATATATTTGTTGTATTGTCAAAGGAGATAATTATCTTCCTAAATTATAGACTATAGTTTCTAGTATATTGCCATATATATTATAGTCAAAGGAAATAATTAGTTTGATAAAAATGATAATTATCTATTTATAGTTAGTTGAAACCGAATATGACCTGACTTGGAAATGACCCAACCTGATTATAACCTGCAAATTAATAACTTAAACTTAAACTGACTTGAATTCGAGAATAACCCGACTTGGAAATGACACAACCTGATTATTACCAGCAAATTATTGAGTTAAACTGAACCCGACTTAAACTCGAGAATGACCCGACTTGAAAATGACCCGACCTGATTATAATCTGCAAATTATTAACTTGAACCAAACCCGACTCAAACCTGAGAATGACCCGACCTGATTCTAACTCGCAAATTATTGATTTGAACCAAACCCGACTCGAACCCGAGAATTACCTTAACCCATTTTAACTCGTGAAAACCCAAATTAAACCCAATCCACTGTTCACCCGGCCCGAATGTCACCCAACCTGTTATTAACCTGATCTAAATCCGACCCAAACCCGATAAGAAGCATGACCCGACTCAAGCATAACCCAACCAAAACCCAACCTGCATAGGTTATGTAATTAATCTGAATTAACCCAACCCACTCTTACCCGACCTAAACCCAACCCGTTTACCCAAGTTGACAACTCTAATTATCATCTTTAAAAAAAGGCATCAATAATGTAGGCATCTTTAGACTATACCAAATGTTATTCTACGTGCAATGAAATAGTCAACCAACAAGCTGCGATTTGGACTACCATCTGCAGAGCAGGAAAGTGCAGTTCTACAATGTACAGAACATAACATCTATTAACCAAACCATCTACTATGAACAATGCTTGAACAAAGAGGCAGATAAACATCGAACGAACATCACAGCATCCACGACCAAAACAACCCTATCTACATCTCTCCGACACAAAGGTTAAGGGTTAGAACAAATCATTTAACACGTAAAAAGCAGTGTCATCTTAAGGCTCCATACTACACAAAATTGGTGCCTCTCGACACCTCTAAAAGTTCAGCAACACTGATTGAAGAGATATTAGCCAGAGAACAGTGACATCGCCTGCCTAAAATCCAAGGATTGAAGAGCTGACTTGGGAAAATGTTTTCCTCCAGGCACCCATATATCATTATTATTGGGAAGAAGAACCTGTGGCTTGCCAGCTTCTTCACCAGCTTGGGGAAGAGGTTGAAGCTCTTTGTTTTTCTTCACAAACTCAAAAAACTCGGCAACTTGTCGTGCATAACTGCAGAAGATTATGAATTGCACATATTAGCATGTGAAAGGGAGCATTCAGTACCATAATATTATGATTTGAATGCATAAAGGTTAGTGTTATCTTTGACAGGCATAGGTACACATAAAATTTCTTAAATTGACCAGTAACAAAGATATTGTTATAAGGTGTTCCATCTAAGGTACAGTACAGGGACAACCTGCTCAGTCTACAAAACACATGAAATCACAAAAGTAAAATACTCTGCAACAGGCATATACAATCATATAAACAGATTCTTGAGAGAAAAATTAGCCAAGTACAATTATTCCATAAATCAGCTGAGAGAGCAAACTAAGAAAGGGAGTAATTAAGGATTAACAGAAGACAGAGTCTTACTCTCTCTTTGCATCAATATCTCTGTTAAAATCAATGTCATTCTCACAATCAAGAATTAAAGCAGGAACCTGCATGACAACAAACAAGGGGATTCTTTAGTTTTTATTTTGCATGTTTGTATCTTGGAATTGCAGCTTATCTTGGAAAAGGGAGGAGGGGGGGTCTGAGAGACATGTACATTATATTACCTTTTGAATGCTAGAATGCATGTGAGCACCCTCCAGGAAGCATACACGTTCATTTATAGTAGGATATGTAGTCCTATCCAATTGAAAGAAAGGCTTAGTGACCGAGACAACTCCATGATTTCCAGTTTCTAAGGGAAAAAGCCAGCTCTCATGCTTTTCATGCAGACCTCGCAGATAATCCAAGCTAACTCCACCTTCTTCTTCTCTTTTACGTAGCATCATTCTTTTATGGCAAGTGTCAGGGCTCGCTCTAAGGTAGATAAAACCATCAGGAATAAGCCCCGGCAAACACGAAACAACTGGATCAAACCAAGAGTCGTATATGCTTATCTCCATCTCATTCATCCATTTTGCTTCATGGACTGCTCGTACAAAAACCTACAGCAAGCAACAGTGAGAGTTTGTTTTATTAAGAAATAACATTTATCTAGCTGCTCCACTAAGTATTTAACACTCATACTTGATGACATAATCAATTTTAAGTTACTTAATAATTCCAACTACAATGATCAATGCCTCTCCATAATCCCATTCACCGACAGCATTATCCTAGATATTAATCAGTTGATACATTACTTCACACACATCCTAATCATGGCAATTTCATAAAGATTAATTCAAAACAGAGTGAAAATTCATGAAGTCCTTACCATCCTGTCGCTGAAGATACTTCTCTCCATCAGCCTCAAGGGCTGAATTCCAGCAGATGAATCTCTCTCTTGCATGACCCTTGTAACAAATACATAGTTCTGAAAGGTGTAGGCATACCTCTGAGGGTCAGCATAAAAGGCATCTAGAATATTAAAGTGATCAGGTCCAATATCTTGCCATTTATCAATGGGCTCAGGAACAATCTCAACAAGGTCACGTAGCTCAACTGTTTCATTAACTATTCTTTTCAGGAAGGTTGTTTTTCCAACACTGATATTCCCCTCCACACAGAGGGTGATTCTGTTTTGTGATCTAATGCCTGAATCAGATCCGTCGTCCTTTAATTCCTCATCTACACTCTTTTTGATATAGGTAGTTATACTTTCAGCATGGTTTCTGTGAATAATTCCCACTGAACTCTGGAGATATTCAACCATCGTCTGATTGGACTTGCCAAAGAACTGAAGAAATAAAACAATGATATGATTAAATAAAGGGTTGCAAAAACAAAACATTAAAAAAGTGACATATGGACGAGAAACCAAACTGGACGAGGTTCCATATAGGAAGTAAGACAAAAGGAATATCAGCAGAAGCCAACTAATAGTGACAATATTCAACAAGTACACAGATTTGAGGACCTTTTTTTGAAAACCCATTTATAATGGTAGCAAATTTAACATACTGGAAAAAGTTAACTGCATTGGCAGCAACTAATGAAGGAGAAATAAAAACATGAAACACCCCATAAATCCACCAAATTACTGGTCTCACAACATTGATCATATACAAACAACAAAATAGGAGATTTTACAGAGACAACAGACAAAAGTACACGTTTGCAGCAAAACCATTCACAAGTTCCATAATTCCCTCCATGCCAGAAATTTCATATGCAATGTTAACATTCACAAGTCAATGAACAGCAAAACCATCATCCATGCATAAACTCTACAATATACTCCTCATAGTTTCAATTCCATTGTCCAAATGAACTATATCGATACCAAACTGCCAATAATTCCATAAGCAAACCATCCACTTGGACCACTTCTTCATCTACTAGTTACTACAAGCTTCCACAGACCACAATCATATTTGCACGGACAAATAAACTTACACAAAAGCAACAACAATAGCAAGGACTAGCACAACAGCAATAAAGACTACCAGACATTAACCTCACAAGATTAAGTTGTACTCAGCCCTACCCTTTACCAATAATACACGCATCAACAAACTAGGACCTCTCCTATAAAGTATAAGTTCCAATAACTCAACCAAGTTTATCTTAGAGCTATAAGTTGAATAGCTCTAATTGAAGGCTTAGAAGTTCATAGCTCTGACATAAATTGAACACACAGTCTTACACTCAACATCAATCCATCCACATAACTAAGAACTAACACAACTAGAACCTCGAATCGATGCATACAAATTATACAATGTTAACCATATATAATGTCACATTCTCTATTAAACATTGACACAAAAAAATGTCCCGTAATTAGCAGAAATTGAACTAATCTCAAAACAAAACAGAGCCAAAAACAAATACAGAAACAAAGCTAAAAGATAAGAGCAGTAACCTTATCTCTATAAAGCTGCTTAAGATCATCAACACCACCAATACCCTTCTCAACCAGCTTCCTCAAATTCCTAGGCCCAACACCAGGTATTGTCAACAAATCAGGACTTTCCACGAGCCCGGAAACCGAGCTACTACCACCTAATCCCCTTGTTCTCCTTTGCATCTTTGCCGGCTTCTCGCCTTCCTCCGCCCTATCTTCCCTCTCCTCCACCTCGGCTTCAGCTTCAACTTCACCCGCCACCATACCCTTATCATCTCCACTCCCAGCAGCATTGTGCAACCAAGCTAAGCGAGACCCGTTTCGCATTCCCTTCAAAACAACCCATGGCCGCTGCAAGTCCCGCCCATCCTCCACCGAACACCGGCATACCCGGCAACTCCCACCTCCGCCGGAAAATCTCTGAGAAGAGAATGAAGAAGCTTTAGTGGAAAACGACGAAGTGGGGATGAAATTAATACAAGGGCGAGAGTAAAAAACGGCGGAATTTGAAACAGGCATGAATTCGGAAGCAATAACAGAGGTGGGTTTAGCGTAAAACCCTAATGGGAAATTAGAGGAGATAGTAAGGGGTTTAAAACAGGGTTTTTTGAGGGTTTTTGAAGGATAAGGAGAGAGAAAGAGGGGATTAACAGACGAAGAAGATGAAGACGAAGAACAGAGAAGGAGAGGAGAGCCAGGTGGGCTGCGACGCAGTAGCTTCTGCATTGGAAGACAAAATTAGCATTTCCTGCAACTTTTTGCAGAATTTTAATGACAACCCAACAAAATCATCAAGAAGAAGAACCCAAAAATGGCAGAAAAAAGGTCCAATTGTAAAGGGAAAGGGCGGGAAGATGAAGAAGAAAAGGGGATGAGGAGGAGAGAGAAAATATATACTAGAAGGGGTTTTACGTAACGGCGGAATTTAGGGTTTTAGGGGGAATTAAAAATTAAAGAAGATGGTCCCAGATTTTTTGCAGTAGTACAAGTTTAAATTATTAATTAAATTGGGGGTTTTTCAAATTAAAAAGCTTCCATTGATTTGCAGAATTCTGGGGAAGAATGCTGGGTTTGTAGAGGGAGAAAGAGATGGGGGGTGAAGAGAGAGAGAGTGAGGTTTTAGATGAAAGCGGTGTGGTAGAGAGTTTAGGAGACAGCATCAGGCATGGTTTATGTACTTACGGAGTATTTTTTTTATTAAAAAAAAACAAAACAAAACAAAACAAAAAAAAAAAAAACTCTCATTTAACCTATTTTTTGAATTTTTTTTTTGACGAAATCTATTCGACTTTTATACGTGATTAGCCACACCATATGACCAGTCAATCATAAGTGTAATTTCAGTCGGTGTTTCAAGGCTTGCTTCATACAGGTTACTCAATCAATGTTAAATGAGTTATTTTGTTTTGTTATAAGCACTCACATGATGTTGTTAGCTGCACACACAATGCGCTTTTTTTTAATTAAACTTGATTTTTTTTCCCCTTTTTTATCAATCAAACAAGTAGTCACATGGTGTTGTTTGCCGCATACAAAATGCACTGTTTTTTGTATTTAAACTTGATTATTCCCTTTTTATCAATTAAATTACATAAAATACCAAAGCTAAAATTGGTTTATTCAAATGGAAAACGCCTTACAACCATAAAGTTAGAGGCTCAATCCCCACTAGTGACAATTTGGGGTTGAAATTCCCTTATTTTTTCTTCCACCTTCTCAAATTGTCTAACCTGCTAATTTAAATTGAGTTAATCTATCTTTGAACAATTTCAGCCCTATAAAGCTCTTCATCTTACCTAAAAAATTATAATTTGCGAAAAAATTAACAATAATTTTACGTGGTCTAATATACTATTATGCACCTTTATCTCATGCAACAATGCCCCTAACTGGAAGAGTTATTGTCATATTTTCACAAGTTTTGAGATAATATTATGTTAAATTGTTAATTACTACTTAACCATAGACCCATAGCTTATAGTAGTTCTTTTTATGGACTTGGGTCACTAGAGTTCTTTTAGTTGTAGTGTAGACCAAAACCTAGAGTTATATACTTATATTATCTATAATTCTATCTTTAAAGTACACAAAAGACAAATCCAGCACCTTATCGACTGGTCTTTGGGCCCATTTGGAATTGATCATTTTGTCTTTCCATCATAAAATTATCAGTGGGCTGCATTATTGAATTTGGGCTGTTAATATTTAATTTGGGTTGCTTTTCGTGCTACACTCGTACAGGGTGCAGCCCACCCAAAAAAAGGAGAACATATTTTATGATTGATGAGCTGTGTTTCAGCATTTGCATGCTCAACAAAACTACAATAAAGGTGGGATGATTAGGTTTTAATTGCGACATAAATGTTAATGATAAACAAAAAAGGATATTTAGATTCTCTTAAGCATATATGAATTACAGTTGGTGTTTGTGTTATACTTTCATATTTATAAATAAGCTTTCAAAATTATTGTTTTAGGAGGCAAGCTTCGAAGTTATTATGTATTATTCAAACATGCAAAATATTAGAAATTTTTATGTGCAAATGTTTGTATTCCAATGAACCTTTGTACTTCATATATGCTTTATCTGTTTAAATTTTATTGAAAGTCATATTTGTAAATTGAAACACAAGTCCTATGATGAAATCCAGATACAATCAAGTAGAAAATAAACCAACTATCCTTGTTTAAAACAATGAACTTATTATTTAGTTACTTCACCATTATTATTTTGAGATTGGAATAACACGGAGAGGAATAGCTTTTTGTATGGTAATCCCAAACTTATCATTCATATCCAAATCTTCTGGCTTTAAACCATCTCCAATTTTCCAATCAAAACCTTGAAGTAGACTCCCCAACATAAGATTCAACATTCGAAGTGCCAATGTATCACCAGGACATGCCCTTCTTCCTGTTCCAAAAGGTATAAGTCCAAAATCTTGTCCTTTTAGATCAATTTCGCGCTCCAAAAATCTCTCCGGCAAAAACATATCTGGATTTTTCCAATGGTTGGGATCTCGTGAAATAGCCAAAAGGTTAACGAATACTTGTGCATTTTTAGGCACAATGTAACCATCTAATTCAACATCATTGCTTGCTTTACGTGGTAGCAAAAACACAGTTGGCGGATGCATCCTTAATGTCTCTTTCACTATTGCTTGTAGATAAGGAAGCTTTGAGATATCAGACTCTTCAACTACCTTATTCCCACCTAGCACTTGTTTAAGTTCATCTTGAGCCTTGGCCATTTTTCTAGGGTTGCGCAATAATTCTGTCATTGCCCACTCCAATGTGCTAGAGGTAGTATCTGTTCCTGCTGTAAAAAAATCCTGTACAATCAACATGCATAATTAGTATAGTTAACAAATTAAAAACCTAAAGTTTCACAACATGTTTTTCATATCGGTTTCTTTTCAAAGTTACAGTATGAACGAATAAATATAAACATATATATACATATATATCTTTCTTAATTATTACTCTAATTGATGAATTTAGTTTATTTTCTCTAGTAATAGAAAAAAAAAATTGTATTAGTTTCCAACTGTATATTAGACCTATCTTGTTTTTCAATTTTTAAAAAAAAGTATAAATAAAACTCACCATGAGAAGATGATTAATATCATCAAGACTTAACTCAGACTCATTCTCTTTCATTAGTCTAAGAAGGGTGTCCAATACATCACCACCACTTCCACTGACGGCAGAATTTCTCAACCGTTTTTGTATAATATCCTCAAAAAGCTTATTTAATTTATTCCCATAAACCATCAACTTATAATTCACACTAAACACACGTAAAAACCTTAATATAGGAAAACAATCTACCAAATTAGGTTTTCCAATCTCCACCATAATCCTCCAAACAAGCTCCTTAAACTCTCCGGAATCACTAGAATTATAGCTAGCCAAATCGAACGAAAAGAATGTGTTTGACAACAAATTTAACGAAGTTGTAAATGCTACTCCTCCAACATCAATTGCTTCCCCTGTCTTACTACACTCCTTTACATACTCCATAAGTTTAGACACTTTTTCTTGTCTAAGGGCTTGACTCGCGTCAAGCCTTTGACTAGAAAATAAATGAATGGCTGAGATTTTCCTTAACATTCGCCATTTTGGACACATGGGTAGCCATGCTACGGAGTATTTATCATGCCCATTTGCACGTACCGCGGCAGAAACTTGCCTATTGGAGAGTGCAAGGTCATGTTTTTGGAACATTTCTTTGGCTACTTCCGCAGAGGATACAACAATAGTTGTGATAGTTCCGAATTTAAGAGAGATTAAGGGGCCATAAGTTTTGGCTAGATTAGCCAACGTATGATGAGGTAAATCTCCAAGATGTGGCAAATTCCCTAAGATTGGTACAGGTTTAGGCCCTGGAGGAATCCTTGCATTTTTATTTGTGGTGAGAGTTGAATTGAGGTTGAAAACATACAATAAAACCCAAAGAAAAGGAAGTACAATCAACAAAATTGTGTAGTAATAATCCATTGGATTAATTATTGTTGGTATTATGGCTTAATTAGTGTGATGATCGAGATCGAATATATGTTGATGGACGGCTTTATATGGTTTGTGAGTAGCTGAGTATTACTTAGTTAAGCAATTAGCTAATCTACACAAATAACACAACTATATAGTAAAGCTCTTGGATTTGATCTTGGTTTGAAATTAAATCAAGATAGTCAACTTCTATGACTTTATTATTGAAAACGGATATATATACTCTTGTTTGGGGTAAAAATACCCTAAACACGTGGCCCAATGGCCTAGTGACACGTGGCATCCAGCCGTTGGTCAGCAGGGCTCCAATCCTCTGCTGACACGTGTCCTCTAAACCCTAAAAGGGAAACCATCCCTTCCCCACTATAAATAGTGGAAGGACCCTCATTAATGGGGGCTGAAACATTTGTAGTTCACATTGAATACTCCTCAAAAAGAAAAACACTTACCCCGAGCAATATTAATTGCAGAATTCTCCCATTACGCGAGAAGTAACTTCTACATTACGTGCATTCTACCTCCCGTATCTTTACTAACTTGATCGTCGGAGGCGGAGCTCCTACCCCCAGGAGTCTTCGTGATTTTGCAGGCACAGGCGTCGAAGGGCATTCTTGGAATTGTAACTCTCCCGCAGGACACATAAAAAAACCCCGAAACATTTGGCGCCATCTGTGGGGAGAGTACTTCTAAGATGACTTCTGATACTGCGTCACCGAATCAGGGCAAACGGCCTGTGGTCGAGCCTGAGGTCCAGACGGACCATGAAAGTGGAGACGAAATTGAAACATATGTGGCCCCGGATGGGTCTTTCAGAACGAAGCACCCTCGTGCTAAAGATAGAAGAGAACGGGAAATCAGCCAAGCTGCTCCCAGCAACCCAGCCGGGCAACCGGCTGGAATTGCCCAAACGGTGGAGGGCTCAGCCCCCGTTACAAGAAACGAACTCATGTCTTTCATGAATAGTTTCAAGGGTGAGATCAAGAGCCTCATCCGGTCAGCTACTCCAAAGAAGGGTCAGCCGGCCAAGAAGCCTTCTGGAAAGAAGGCGGTCAAAGAACGAGTTCCTACCCCTCATCCCAAGCCAAAGGAGGGGGAGGGCTTAAGGTTTGATCCAAGCAGACTCCGTTTTCCTCAAGGGGAGCTGCGAAAGGCCATCCGGCACGTACAACCGGATGGCTCCAAGAAAACATTCTCAGACGCCCGCACATTTCTCCAAGAGAAGCGAGGTCAGGCGTCTGCGTCGGCCTCAACGTCGACCTTCCCGGACAGTTTCCATGACGTCTCACACAGGCGTACATGAACGAATCTTGGGAGCCAGACGGGCGAAGCTTCTGCCCGGTCTGGACCCAAAGTGATCCAGCCTGGCCTATTCGGCACACCGAATGGGTTGGGTGGATCCCCTTTTATGTCACTGGGTCTTTTCGGTGGGCAAGCGCAGTAGCCGTTCCAACCCACGGACTGGCAGCTGCGCCTGCTAAATTTGGGGGAACAGCCAACGGCATCAAGAATGTTTTGGTGGGGGCCTATGACGGCACCACCAACCCAGAAGACCATCTAATGGCCTACTCTAACCTCATGTACCTCCAGGGGTTAGATGATGCCGTCTGGTGTCGATGCTTCCCGGCTACCCTCAAGGGCATAGCCCAGCGTTGGTTTGGTAACCTACCAGCCGGTTGCATCAACAGCTTTCGAACTTTGGCGTACTTGTTTACGTCAAATTTCTCAATGAATATTCCTGCCAAAAAGACTAGCCTCGACCTAGGGGCAATACAGCAGGGCGACCGGGAGGGCCTCCGGTCATACGTCAGACGGTTCAATCTGATGAGAATTCAGATTCCAGGACTATCAGATGAAGTGGCCTATATAGACTTCTTTCGAGGTCTGAAGGATGGGTCGACCTTTAAGTTTGACCTCGTCCGGAAGAGGGTTGCTACCCTCCAAGAGGCGTTAATTGAAGCTGAAGCCTATATACAGGCGACGGAGCTTTGTGCTGTCAAGCAGCCGTCAGATTATAAAAAGTCTGACAAAAAAGAGAGCCGGCAACAGCATCAGCCGACAAGAAAGGAAGAAAAGAGAAAAGGGGTTTGGGCAGCTGACCGATCAGGACAGCCGGCCCAGAAGATCAGGCGGAAGTCAGAACCATATGTCCCCAAATACGAGTTCACAAAAGATTGCTCCACCATCCTCATGGAAATCAAAGACCGGATGTCTCTCGACAAACCGGCTGAAATGAAAAGCCCCGTGAATAAACGGGACAAGAGCAAGTATTGCCGATACCACGAGGATGTTGGCCACGACACCAATGGCTGCTATAGCCTCAGGCGGCTATTGGACCGTCTGGCAGATGAGGGGGCCCTAAAATCCTACCTACCCAAGGCTAAGGGTAATACCCAGGCCAAGAAAGGGCAGGCGGCAAAAACCGGCCCAGTAAACTCCGAGACGGATGAAGAGACCATCTTCACCATAGCAGGCGGTTTTGCCGGAGGGGGTCCCACCATCCAGGGCACCAAAGACAACATCAGGAAGCTGGTCAACTCAGTGGATGAGGGCCAGGCGTCGAAAGACATCTTTCCTGAGGTCCTTATTTCTGAAAAGGACCGGGGCAAGGTCAGGCGGCCTCATGATGACCCCATCGTCATCGAATGCAAGGTTGCCAACCAGAAGGTTGGCCGAATCATAATAGACACCGGGAGCTCGTCTGACCTAATCAGTTATCAGTGCTTGACCAAGCTCAAGTACACATCCGGTAACATGCACCAGGCTCCTCACCCACTAGTCGGTTTTGGGGGTGGAGTAGTGCATCCGGTCGGAAGCATAGATCTTCCGATCCGGCTGGGTGAAAAGGGGCAAGGACGCCACATGATAGTCAAGTTTTTAGTTGTGGAGGAGTTATCCGCCTACAACATGATATTTGGCCATCCTACCCTCAACGCATCTAAGGCTGTCATCATCCCGTCCCTCATGTTGGTCAAATTTCAAAAGGATGATGGTACAGTCGGTGCCCTAAGCGGGGACCAGAAGACGGCAAGAGAGTGCTATCTCTCTGACGTCAAGACAACTATGGGTGCAGCCGGCCAGGGCGAGCCCATAGATATTGATAACTGCGACCCAGCAGTCCCGGCTCCAAGGGCAGCCGGTATGAAAAGAAAGGCGGACCAACTGGCACCCGTCAAAAAGGAAAAATAGCAATCACTAGCCGGGGAAAGGTCAGATGACCAACGACCTCAGCCGGCTGGTGACTGCCTTGATGTCATCCTAGATGACAGCCGTCCTGAAAGAACAGTCAAGGTCGGGACGGTAGCCTTCGAACGGTTGGGAGAAGGCTTGCTCCAGCTGCTGAAGGAATTCAAAGACATCTTTGCCTTTGAAGTGGAAGAGATGCCAGGCGTCAGCCCGGATCTTGCTGTCCACAAGCTAGCCGTAGATCCCAAAAAGCAGCCGGTTAGGCAGAAAAAGAGGGATCATGGTGGAGAAAGATCTCAAGCGGCAGCGGCTGAGGTCAAAAAGCTGTTGGATGCTGGATTCATTAGGCAATGCTACTACCCGGATTGGGTGGCAAATGTCGTTCTAGTAAAGAAGCCGAACGGTACTTGGCGGATGTGTGTGGATTACACAGATTTGAACAAAGCATGCCCAAAAGATAGCTACCCGCTTCCAAAGATTGACAGCCTAGTCGACTCAACAGCCGGCCATGCGTTAATGAGCTTTATGGATGCTTATTCCGGCTTCCATCAAATACCTCTCTGGAAGAAAGATCAGGAGAAGACGGCTTTTGTCACTGATCAGGGGTTATTCTGCTATACGGTGATGCCGTTTGGGTTGAAGAATGCACCGGCTACATTCCAGCGCATGATAAACACCGTTTTTATCAACCAGATTGGCAGGAATGTAGAGGCGTATATCGATGACATGATAGTCAAATCCAAGCTACAGACGGATCACCTAGCAGACCTGCGAGAAACCTTCACCACACTCAGGCGGCACCGGGTCATGCTTAACCCAAAGAAATGCGTATTTGGTGTTGAGTCTGGGAAGTTTCTCGGATTCTTGATTGACCAAAGAGGCATCGAAGCTAATCCAGAAAAAATACAGGCGGTAATTGACATGAAGTCTCCCCGCACTGTAAAAGAGGTCCAGAAGTTAACCGGTTGTCTGGCGGCATTAGGGAGGTTCCTCAGCCGGTCAGGTGACAAGTGCCTCTATTTCTTCCAGGCAATCAGGAAGAGGTCAAGGTTTGAATGGGGTGAAGAAGCAGAGGCGGCATTCCAGAGGCTTAAGCAGCACTTGCATTCTTTGCCAAGGCTAGTGAGCCCCCTACCCCGGGAGGTTCTGTACATGTACCTAGCCGTCTCTGATCACGCCCTTAGTGCCGTTCTCCTCGCTGAGAGAGATGGCATTCAGCTGCCGGTGTACTTCATCAGCCATGTCTTAAAAAATGCTGAGCTCCAGTACCCCATGATCGAAAAATTTGGGTTGGCCTTATTCGTAGCAGTCAAGCGGTTGAAGCCTTAATTTTTTGGCACATCCGGTTGTGGTATACACAGATCAGCCGCTCAAGCGTACGATGACTGCTATAGAGTCATCCGGTAGAATGATCAAGTGGGCTGTTGAAATACAAGGCCTTGAGATAACTTTTGAACCCAGGCGGGCAGTGAAAGGTCAGGCGTTTGCCGACTTTATTGTCAAGATGACTAGGCCGGTGCACCCGGAAAACCCTGATCAGGTCTGGAAGTTATTTGTAGACGGCAGCTCTACGGTGAACGGTTGTGGTGCAGGTGTTATCTGTCATTCCCCGGAAGGGGATAAGTTTGAATATGCACTACGATTTAAGTTCCAAGCCTCCAACAATGAGGCAGAGTATGAAGCCCTGCTAGCCGGATTGCGCATGTGTAAGGCAGCCGGTGCAAGAAAGGTCGACGCCTGCTCAGATTCACAGCTGATCGTTAGCCAATACCTTGGTGACTACGAAGCCACCCATCCGGCTATGATCAAATATTTGCAGGCGGTCAAAGAGGAGGCTGGGTCCTTCGATGAATTTCATCTGCGACAGGTGCCCCGGTCTGAAAACAATCAGGCAGATGCCCTCTCAAAGTTGGCATCATCAGCCTCCGGTGATGCTCCTAGGACGGTCTTTTGGGAAGTCATTGAAAAACGAAGTATTCAGAATGATCCCATTGGAGTCTTGGACAGAACTGCTACCTGGATGGATCCCATCCGGTCCTTTTTGACGGATGGTACCTTGCCGGATGACCCTTCAGAAGCATCAGCGCTCAAGAAGCGTGCTTCAAGTTTTGTTATGCATCAAGGGGAACTCCTCCGGAAGGAATACCTGCAGCCGTTTTTGAAATGTGTAACCCCGGATAGGGGGAGAGAAGTTTTGGAAGATCTGCACGCGGGGTTTTGTGCCTTGCATATTGGCGGCAGGTCCCTGGCCAGAAGAACCAGACGGCAAGGGTACTTCTGGCCCACTCTTGAAGCAGATGCCATGGATCTAGTAAAGAGATGCGACAAGTGCCAAAAATTCGCTAAGTTGATACATCAACCGGCAACAGAACTCACGGCAATCCATAGTCCGGTTCCGTTTGCTAAATGGGGCATGGACATTTTGGGACCTTATACGCCTGCATCAGGCGGCCGCCGCTACATTCTTGTAGCAGTAGACTACTTCACCAAATGGGTTGAGGCAGAGGCGGTAAAAGGGATTAAAACGAAAGACGTGATTTCTTTCATCTGGAGAAACGTCATCACCCGGTTCGGGGTTCCAATGTCCATGGTTTTCGACAACGGACCGTAGTTCGAAACGCCTGTCCTGAAGACCTGGTTGGGAGACCAAGGAATTTCCATTGTTTTGCATCCGTTGGCCGTCCTTAGGAAAACGGTCAAGTTGAGGCTTTTAACAAGTTGATCTCAGACGGGATAAAGAAGAAAGTAGAAAGAGCCGGTGGACTATGGGCAGAGGAATTACCTCATGTCCTTTGGGCTATCCGGACAACCGAAAAGGGGGCAACCGGTGAGACCCCATTTCTCATGACATACGGCACTGAAGCAGTTCTTCCCATTGAACATTATGAGCCTACTCTACGCATTATGTTATATGATGAGGAGGCTAACTGGGAAGCCATGCGGTTGGCATTAGACGCTCTTCCAGAGCGAAGGGGGAATGCTGCCTTGCGTCATGAGATCTACCGTCTGCGTATGACTAGAGCCTACAACAAGCGGGTTCGTAAAAGACCTTTGAAAGAAGGAGATTTTGTGCTTTCTTAAAATGGAGGCAACCGGTAGGGCCAATGAACAAGGCAAATTAACCCCAAATTGGGAGGGACCCTACCGGATCTTTGAAGAAGTACGAGACGGCACTTACCGCCTGGAAACTCCAGACGGAAGAAAGTTGCCTAGAACTTGGAATGTAGATAACCTCAAAAAATACTACTTCTAAGTATTGTACATCTTTTGAAAATTTTCAAATGATTAATGAGAATTACATTCAATTTTGTATACAGCCGCCATGTCTTGTGCCTACCACAAGCGGCACCAGTAACTAATTTTTTCATCCGGTGACACCCATACGGGTGAATTCATCGAAGAGAACATCTCCCATTTGGGTGGTAAATTGTTCTAAGCGATCACACAGGCGGACAAATCCGCCTGACGATCCTTCGCACCAAAAAAGGGCAGGCTAGCAACCCCAAACTTGCAGCCGACTCACTTTTTGGAAGGACAGCCGGTAATCAATACCGCCGCCTGACTCTCTAAGAGCAGGCCTAAAAACATTTGGTCTAGGCCATAATTCATTCAAGGGTATGCTTGCAAAAGCCCAACCGGTGAATGGACATCCTAATCTGGCGTGATTCTTTTGCAAAGTCCCGACCGGTAATTCAGTATAAACCGACTGGCTCCCGAATCTAATGCTGACACTTAGTGTATATTCGAGCTATATCATATGGATAGTCGCCTGGCTTGAAAAGACCCAGACCGCTATCCAGGGGCAATTACCCAGACGCCATCCGGTTTGGTTTTGGGTCGAAATTTCTTCGCCTAGTTTGCGAAGACCCAGACGGCAGTGTTACCGGTGGGGTCTTCTTGGCAACCCTAGTAAATTTCTTCGCCTAGTTTGCGAAGACCCAGACGGCAGTGTTACCGGTGGGGTCTGCTTGGCAACCCTTGCAAATTTCTTCGCCTAGTTTGCGAAGACCCAGACGGCAGTGTTACCGGTGGGGTCCTCTTGGCAACCTTTGCAAATTTCTTTGCTGTTTGCGAAGACCCAAGCGGTAGTGTTACCGGCGGGGTTCTTTTGGTTATCCTCGCAGAAATATGTATAAAAAAAAATAACAAGAATTCTAGTATTGAAGTGCAGAAACATAAAAAGCATTCAAAAGCCAGCTCAGCCGGTGAAAATGTTAATATTCAAAATAAAAATTATTACAGCTTAGCCCATCTCATCCGGTGCTATTACAAGATAATGCAAGGCGCGCAGGCCGGGAAGTAGTTGCTACTCCAAGCGAACAGTGAACCGGTCCTCTTCCGGTTGGTTCTGGGTTGGATCAGGGTGAGCGGCTGCGTCGGCTTCAGGAACAACTTCTTCCTCTTCAGCAGCCTCCGCCTGCCGTTGCGCAATCTCCTCCCTAACCCAAGCGTCATAGGGTCCGGGCCCCGGCTCATTCGCCTCCTCGGCCAGAATGGCAAGATTAGAATATTTGAAGGCGAGTTCCCAGACGGTGAAGTCCGCCTCCGGGTGGATGAGGGAAAACGCCCGTTGCATCCGGTTTGCACAGTCATGCTCATTCTCTTCAATGAGCCTCTCCTGCTCCGACTCCAAGGTGGCCTTGAAGTTCTCATTGGCAGCAGCCGCCTCTTTGCGCAGGCGCTCATTCTCTTTGGCAAGGCGGCCATTTTCAGTCTCCGCCTTGCTCAGCCGTTGGAGGGGCTCTTTCTGCTCCTCCAACTTTTTATTGGCATCATCCAGGGACGCCTGCAGTTGGTCAACTTGGTTTTTCAGCTGATCAATCTGCTGTTGGAGGGCCTTGGTCTTCTCCGCCTGTTCCATGCGTATAGATTTAGATTCTAAGCCATGCATGTACAAAGAGTAGTCAGCAACATTATGGGCGTCATCAACAACCCGTTTGCTTCTCCTTACCTCTTCAGACTTGCGGGTATAAGCTCGTTTGAGCCCCTCTACGCGCAGCATAGCCTGCAAAAATACAGCCGGTTAATACTGCATATTTAAAAATGCACGTCAAGAAAATTACCGCATGGTTGTTGGAGCATACGTCGGCCAGGTCGACCAGCACCCGGTCGGCATTAAAGGAGTTGATCCCAGGGATCGCCTCCTTCTCGTCCCTGGGGACGGCTTTCAGCATGGCCCGGGCATATTGTGCCCCGTCCGGCCAGCGGGGAGAATTATCTGCACCAGAAACAGACGGTGAGAAACTCGCATATGCTCTGCCTATAGATTGCCGGCTGATTGGAGAATCCCCCGGCTGCGATCGAGACTGTGAATAAGACTTGACCCCCATGGGCAGGTCAAGCAGTGTAAGGTCGAAGTTACCTTGGCGGCCCGAACGGCCTTCAGAGGGACCGGTTGCGGCCCTCAATGGGATGGCAGAAAGCACATCCGCAGATCCAGGCCCGCCTGGGACCTTTATTGATTTGCCGCCGGTAGTTTGCCGGTCGGCTGTCTTCTGCACCTTGGATGCAGACTCTTGTTGGGTCGGCGGAGGCCTGACCTGTTTTTGAAGGGACCGGGGCATCTGCTTCCCGTCCTGTAAACGAGAAAAATATAAGTTATGGGATAAAAGGATTGAAATAAACGAGAAGGATCAGACGGTTATACCTTCTTCGCCGCCTGGGCAGCAAGTTTTTTCTCGAGATTGGCTTTCCGGATGTCGGCAGCCGACCTAGCCGGTGTCTTCTCGGTGGGCAGCATTTTCTTGGCTTCTTCTGCAGAGGAAGGCACACGGTTAGAATAATAAATAAGCAAGGAAATAAAAGCATCCGGTTCGAAAGAAACCGGCTGAGTTCCGAATACATACGTTTTTTAAACATGCTGCTTAGACCACAAGCGGACAAGAAGCATTCGTCCCTAAAAAATTCATGTTTGGGCACCCAGTTTCTAGGTACCCTTACTATCTCTCCGGATGAGAGGGTGTCAGGAACTAACTCAAAAAACCCGGAGTCAAGGATGGTCTCTCTATCATCCTCCGGGACAGGGGGCAGGCAGCACTTGGTCCCCAAGAGTTCTGGTTTCCGGTTGTAGATCCGGAATTCTCTGTTCTCTGCCGTAGTTGGGGCCTTAACCAAGTTGAACCGGTGCTTCCAGTCCGACCATTTGGATGGCTTGTCCAAGGTCATAAGGTATTTGGGCTGGGTGGTCAAGGTATACCAGGCTCTCCAGCCGCCTGGGCTCCTACTCAAGTAATGCATGTGGGCAAACGCCTCCCAGCCGGGGTTGAGGCCCTACATCTCGCAGGCGGCGATATACCCTAAAATATTTACCCATGAGTTGGGGGTTAATTGCCAGAGACCTAGGCCATACCCCCTAAGTATGGCTTTTATTGTGTCGTGGAGAGGGAAGCGGACTCCGGCCACGAAGGCCGCCTCGTAGCACCCGAACCAAGCGTTCGCGTTCGGTTGTGCATCCTCCCACCATATTGTTCCCAGAGCAGCCGGGATTTTTATTGTATAGTCACCTCCCAGCGGCCGCCGTTTGATAAAATCTGGCAGCGCAGCCCGCATGAGCTCGCGGTCCTTAGAGGAGACGACAATCATGAGAGGATCGTTCCTATTATCCCAAGAAGGCCTCTCCGCCTCCTCGCTATCCTCATATTCGGTTAAGTAGCTGCTACTGCTACTTTGAACGTGATCGGCATCAGAGCCGGCTGGGGAGTTGGAGACCTCCTTATCAGAGCCTACCTGCTCTCTGGTCTCCTGGAGGGGAGCAGTCTCTTCATTTAAAATGCTATCACCCGGGGTGCTAGGAGCGCCCCCGGGTGAGCGTCTCTGCTCTACCTCTCCTTGCTCTACTTCACCGCCTGAAGCTGGGACCTCAGGCGGCTGCTCATCTGAGCTCCCACTTCTGTAGTTGGGATCTCTGGCAGTAGACCGGATTCTGGCCATTGTGTCCTGCACAGACACAAAGTCGGTCGATATGGGTGTTGAAAAAGGGTTGTCCCAAAGAACAGAGGCGGCAGACCCAGTTCTAGACTCAGCCGTACTAATAAACCGGCTGAGTTCACAGCTAGGTTCCGGGTATGGGTATAAGGGGTCCATCTACTTATGGGACCAATGAACAAAAATGCGAGTAAAAGACTCAAACGGAAATACATGAAAAAGCTAGAAAGAATAGAGACGGTACCTAGAAGAAAATCTGGAAATTCTCTGGGATGCTTGCGAAGACGCAGGCGGTTCAAAATCCGGCTGGGTTTCTCTGATTACCCTCTCGAAAACCTTTGGCTAGCTTGCAACGACCCAGACGGTATGTAGACCGGTTGCTCTCAACGAATCTCAACTCCGAATGCTCTCAACTCACAAATTGCCGGCTGCTCTCAAATTTTCAGAAATTTGGCAGTTTGTAAATGAGAGCTCGGGGGACATCTTCTCCTATTTATAGAATTTGTCCCAGAAGGTGAAAAGTCGTGACTCTTCGCCTTCTGCTTTTCCATCCTTCAAAAAGAATCTGAAGAGTTAAAAAAAAAAAAAAAAAAAAAAAAAAAAACTTTCACCGGCGCCACGTGGCACCCTGCCACGTCAGCACCATTGAGGGGCAAATGTTTGGGGTAAAAATACCCTAAACACGTGGCCCAATGGCCTAGTGACACGTGGCATCCAGCCGTTGGTCAGCAGGGCTCCAATCCTCTGCTGACACGTGTCCTCTAAACCCTAAAAGGGAAACCATCCCTTCCCCACTATAAATAGTGGAAGGACCCTCATTAATGGGGGCTGAAACATTTGTAGTTCACATTGAATACTCCTCAAAAAGAAAAACACTTACCCCGAGCAATATTAATTGCAGAATTCTCCCATTACGCGAGAAGTAACTTCTACATTACGTGCATTCTACCTCCCGTATCTTTACTAACTTGATCGTCGGAGGCGGAGCTCCTACCCCCAGGAGTCTTCGTGATTTTGCAGGCACAGGCGTCGAAGGACATTCTTGAAATTGTAACTCTCCCGCAAGACACATCAAAAAACCCCGAAACAACTCTCATTTTCTTTAATCAATTAATTATATTTACATGGATTAGGCAATTATAATAAGGCTCTTGGTTTGAAAATCAAAATGGTTAACTTAGTTGTCTTAGTCATCGGATTTCTCATCCGTGTAACTTGGTAAACCAAGAGAAAAGAATTGAGAAAAATGTTGTTGAAAAATTGTAATATATACTCTTTATAATTATTATAATTTTTTTTATTAAGATACATAAAACATCAAGGTTGTTAGAATTAGCCTAGGATCATGTGTTGGATTGTTACGGGGGTTGGGTATCATCTTATCAATAATTTTACTCATATATAATGTGGTGTTTAAAAACTCGAGCATATACCAATCATCGTTATTGATAAATTATATGCAAGATTATCAAAATTAGGATTATAACTATGATCAGCTTTAATTTTTTCTCTTATAATATGAATTTCAATTCCATATAAATATACATGTAAGATGTAGTAGACTAATTTGTCTTAAGATGTAATTACTATCAATTAATGAAAATTGCATAGTACACTAGGGTGTACCATGCTCATGGTACACCTAGTGTTAAATGATGAGTTTTTAACATTTCATTTGCAAGCTATCAGTTTGTTATTTAAAAAAAAAAATCAATCTCTTCCACAATTCATGAGATTCAACATGATATTCTCCATTTTTACATAACTTTCAAAATTAAATTTCACCAGATTTCAATTTCAAATTAAGAGAGAATAAAGTTTATAAAGAATTTTGTAAAGAGAAAAATACAGAGCAAATTATGAGAACATTGTAATCGATGGATCGGAGAAGGTAATTTGATTTTATTTGTTATGATTTTAATTTCAGGATTTTGCTTATTAGGTTGATCATATTTTGTTATTATTTTACACGATTATTGTAAAATATCAATTTTTTTTTCAATTTTGATATTTATGAATTTGAGATCCATATGACAAAGGTTGAATATGATGTTCTTTTATTTTGTCAAAGGTTGAAGATGATGTTCTTTATATTTTGTCAAATTTTGAAGATGATGTTCTTTTATAAATTGTACTTATGTTTGTTATTGTTGTGCGACAGCGGAAGCAAAGGTCGAAAACAAACAAGAAAACAATAAAGAAATTCAATGCAAACAATAAGAACAACACCAAGAATTTACGTGGTTCACTATCGATGTGATAGCTACGTCCACGGGCACCGAGATCGAATGATTTCACTATAAACTGCAAAGATTACAAAGATGATTCTTGTATTTCTCAAGAACGGCTTTCACTCTGTCTCTCTTAACCCTAATACTGATATTAGGGAGGTTTTATATTAATCCCTAATTAAAAGATACTTGGGCAAAAAGATAATAAAATAAGATAACCTAAAACCGCAAAATCCGCGTTCCGTATTTTTCCTTCTCCGCCCGGTCAGACCGGGCAAGGTCTGCCCGATCGGGCGCGAGAAGAAAACTCCATACGAATGCTTCAACGTATCCAACCCCCACCGCCCGGTCAGACCGGGCAAGGTCTGCCCGATCGGGCGAAGGCTCGCCCGGTCGGGCGAAGGCTCGCCCGGTCGGGCGCGAGAGCAGCTTCTTCAACGAATTTGCCAGGCACCTCTTCTTCTTCCGCCCGGTCAGACCGGGCAATGTCCGCCCGATCGGGCGGACAAAGCTACGAAGTACGAGTCACCTAATATACTTATCAACAATCTCCACCTTGACGAGAACTCGTAGTCAGCAAACGACCCCATCAAGACATAGTGAAAAAACATCTCAAGCCAAACCCGATGCAGGACTCATGCATAAGCCATACATCCCGATAAGTCTTCAACCAAGACCCATCACATACTCGTCTCCAAGTATAACAACTCATAATGCTCCACCTGCATCACAAGCCCCGGGCAAGCTCCACCTTAAGGCCAACACACCTACACCAGGAGCTCCCCAACTTCGCCCCTCAGGGCCTACTACATCACGTAGTAATCAATATTTAACAAGTCTAAGCAATGTTTAAACTTGCTAAACGGAACAGGCTTAGTGAAGAAATCAGTCGGGTTGTCAGCAGTCCCAATCTTCTTCACCTTAATCCTCTCGTCAGTACGTAAGAAATGATACCTGACATCAATGTGCTTCGTCCGATCATGGTGTACTTGATCTTTAGCTAAGCAAATCGCACTTAGACTATCACAATACACTGTAGCAAAATCCTGTGCAATACCCAGTTCACCTACTAGGCCTTTGAGCCAAATAGACTCCTTAGCTGCAGAAGTTAGAGCCATATACTCAGCTTCAGTAGTTGACAACGTAACTGATGACTGCAATGTAGACTTCCAACTAACCACAGAACCACCCAAAGTGAACACATAACCAGTCACAGACCTCCTGGTATCCACATCAGCTGCATAATCAGAATCACTGTACCCAGTGACCAAGCATTCCTTATCATTCCCGTACACAAGACCAATATCAGCTGTCCCTCTCAGGTAGCGAAAAATCCTTTTCACCCCTTGCCAGTGTTCCCTCCCAGGTCGAGCCATAAACCTGCTTACAACACTAACAGCATGCGCAATATCCGGCCTAGTACAGACCATAGCATACATCAAACAACCAACCGCGTTTGCATATGGAACTCTAGACATATAAGACAACTCCTCCTCTGATTGAGGTGACATAGACAAAGACAACTTACAACTAA